AGGTTTGGCACAGTAGCGAGGTACTAAGTTAGTGACTGGTTTGCACCGAGGTCGAATCATAGGATTCGAAAAGGACAATCAATAGGATTGACAGACAAACCCGGACCAAATGGGGTACCGAGCTATGGTGCAAATGAGAGAGAGGGTGGTGAGGGCGGGAAAAGCAAAAAGAGCTGACGGTCTTGACCGAGCAGCTAAACTCCTTCTATCGCCTCCATCATCCCACAAGCTCCCATTGCGAACAATGTCTTCTCCAAATCTTCCGTCCTCTTCGTCGACACTCTTCGCTCCGTCCGCCAACCGTGTACTTCACTGAAGCGACGCGCCGTAATCGACACGACGGAAATTGAGACTAAGGAAGAGCTAGAAACGCCCATACGTCTCCCGTCTTGCCGGCCGATCAATAAAAACAGTTTGAACCCACTCTGCAGCCATCTTCTATTTCGAGCAACCCCGCGACCCTACCAATGACTGACGGGGAAGGGTCGAATGCAAGACGATATCAGTCACAGATGGCTGCTACCGGTATCATACAAACCGGTATCTGCAATGGTACATGTGCGTGTACCAGGTACCAGGTACCAGGTGCCGGTACCAGTACTGTCTTGTGTTCTCGCCTTTTACTTGACGAGAAACCTTCAAACAAACCGCTATGCAGGAATGAATAATCGAAATGAGCATGGATCTAGAGAACGTTTTATGTGGTGTGATCAAGTGATCGCGCGAGTGAGTCAATTCAACCCAGATTTTTCAACCAATCTAATCGAAGAATCGCATGATGTAGTCTTTGTCTGGAGAAATCGCGCACGTATGCTACCATGGAAACTGTGGCAAAGCCTTATGCTACAGTACATACAGAAAGCGAGAAGGTTTGGCACAGTAGCGAGGTACTAAGTTAGTGACTGGTTTGCACCGAGGTCGAATCATAGGATTCGAAAAGGACAATCAATAGGATTGACAGACAAACCCGGACCAAATGGGGTACCGAGCTATGGTGCAAATGAGAGAGAGGGTGGTGAGGGCGGGAAAAAGCAAAAAAAGCTGACGGTCTTGACCGAGCAGCTAAGCTCCTTCTATCGTCTCCATCATCCCACAAGCTCCCATTGCGAACAATGTCTTCTCCAAATCTTCCGTCGACACTCTTCGCTCCGTCCGCCAACCGTGTAGTTCACTGAAGCGACGCGCCGCAATCGACATGACGGAAATTGAGACTAAGGAAGAGCTAGAAACGCCCATACGTCTCCCGTCTTGCCGATCAAATCTCTTTGGACTACGGATGAGACCAGGCGCCGCCTCCACTTCATCACTCGACGTCTAACGTGATTGGCCTAGGATGATTGCATACTTGTACTACGAATTGTACCAAACGAGATTATGCCAGTTGATGTGAAATTCAGGTGAAGAGACAGTGTCGAAATCCTTTAGTTGGAATGTGTTGTAATTCCCTTGGCAGTAATCAGGAAGAACTGTAATAAGTGCTGATGACTTTTAGGCCTCCAGACGACTCTCAGTCCCGACCAGATCATGGTGGGGGGACGATGCAGTCACTTGAGGCTTTTAAACTTTGACACTTCAGTATCAAGAACAAGATTGCATTGAAATAGCGCACTTCCTCAATCTTGAAGGCCACAATTGCGCGATTGACAATATACTTGGGTGGTCCCCACGTTCATTGAGTGGTCACATAGCGCTTTGTGCTAGATCAGACCATCCGAGAATGAATGGCGACGTGTTTCTGCTCGGTCCCAGTTGAGCACCGACACTGCACAGTATCATTGGAAGCAAGAAACAAGAGCTGGTTTTTCAAAATGTGTTGGTTGGTTGCTTTTGGTGTCAATGTGTTGGTTTTGGCTGCAATCTGATCGGAAAGTTTCCCCTAAACCGCAGCTGATTTCATGTATTGGTTTTGGTTTTGGTGTCAAAAGATGCAGAAGCGATAAAGGCTCTTACATTATGCAGGTGCAATTTTTAGTGGGTTTTCAGCCAATGAGAGTTAGTCAAATCACTAAAAATCAACCCATTTTTAGTGGTCTGAACCAATCACAGCGGGCCATTCACTAAAAATAGACAATCTCCACTAAGTTAGTACTCGTCATTACTTGCAAATGATGATTATAGGGGGATGGTACCTGGTACCGTAGGCCCAGGCTAGATACGGCCCTGCCACTCTGCCATTGTATTATAAAGCACTGTCGCACCTTGTTTTAATGACTCACCTTACCACTGGATTACGAGCTAGCGATACAGTTACCCTATGATCACTTCTAGCTGCTCTGAAGAACGGGTGTGGCAGCCACCAAACCGAATTGACAAGCGCTACAGCATGAGGTGACGGATACGCCCATCTGTAGAAACTTCGTTTTCAATCTTCTATTTATATTATAGATTAATTTCTATCGTTTCAGTGTCACTTATGGTAGCATGCCCCTGTAAGAAACTGATAACAACTGCCATAGTTGCTAGTAGTAGGTGTCACTTCACCTTTGGAATCTAATCATTGTCTCAATTCCGTGCACCAAGGCCTTGTTGATTGTTTTCTCGTCAGAATAAACCCATCCCCTGTGACCATACGGTAGTAAACTGTCGTAGCGCGGCCTTATGGTGGAAACTTGGCCATCAAGGAACCCAGCAAGAGTTTGCCTCTGTTTTCGCCTTTGCATCTTACTCAAAAAACGGTTGATTATTGCATTTCTTCAATCATGTAATACACATGTAGTCTCTTTGGCGGCGAGCTTGTGCCTGGATTTGGTCCTTCCTCACCTTGCTTGATTCCCAAAATATTGAGTCCATTGACGACGCAAAATCTGACTACCATCATCAATGACGTCAACTTCTGCGCTGCATATCTGGAAATGTTCGTGACCTCAAATTCAGAGTGCGATAAATCTCCGATTTCTGATTGGATCTGCGATATGAAGGCACAGATGATGTTATTAGAGGTGCTCGAACGTCATTTCAAAAGTTTCAGAGGCATCGGTCAACATACATCAAACAATCATTGTTACCTTGTTCAAAATCCGTCAAAATCCTGGCTAGAGCCAGGGTCATAGAGCATATATTCTTGCGACGGTATGCATGAGGCCAGTGCTGTGTTGTAAAGACACTTTATTGCAATCCTGTTGCTTTCTCCTCTTTTCTTTTCTTTCCTCTTCGTTTTCTTTTCTTTCCTTTTTCTTCCTCTTCCCCCTTCTTTTTCCCCGGGGGATTTAGTATAAATAGTTGCACCAGCATAGTATAAAAGCCTATTTTTAGCCATCGGAATGGCGACATGTTTCTGCTCGGTTCCAGTTGAGCTACCGACACTGTACAGTATCATTGCGGAAAAGGAGAGCATGGCTGATTTCTTGTGTTGGTTTTGGCTGCAATCCGATCGGAAAGTCGCCTATAAACCGGAGCTGATTTCATGTCTTGGATTAGCGTCAATAGATGCACAAATCAATGATCATACAGTACAGTATTCTCAGCCCTCTAAATGGCGACGCTTCTGCTCTGTTCTAGTTGATCTACCTGCCGGAACCTGGTGCTGTGCACATAATCGTTGAACACTATACTTAGAGTACCTGGTACCGGTATTATATGTGTTGGATTTCGTGTTGAACAGATGGTGCAATTCACACCACGGGTTACGTTTCTTCTTTTCCTCCTCCGTTCCAGTTGAGCCACCGATACGTGTCAATTATCATTTGGGGAAACAATGAACGGAGCTGATTTTTAAATTTTGAATACATATTTTTTTGATGTTGCCATCAACAGCTGCTCCAATCCGATCGGAAAGCCGTCAATTATGAGCTCTCGGAATTGTTTGTTCGCAACGGTGGCTCTCCTTGTTCTTTACACTTCACAACATTGGAAAAATTGGGGCTCTCACCATTCGACAGACCCCATTTCATAAATACAGATGTAAAAGAACACAAAAGAGGGTGCGGGTACACGGAGTTCATACCTTCCACGAGAAGAAAACGCGGGCTTCGCGTTGGTTTCAACATCAAGTTGCGTCGATAGCGTTTCCGTGTTTCATTTGCGACTGAATGTCCTATGTAAATAGCCCAATTGTTGAACTTTTGCCATCTGCACTGCATCATGAGCAATAAGTAAACAACGCTCCTGAGGTGCGTATCTTTTTCAAAAGGCCAAACAAAAGCGCCTTTTTCCGTTTGTTAGTAGCACTTTCTACAAGAACACGAACGTACAGCAGGTGCCGATCTTACAATCGCGGTTCTTCGAGGTCCCATCCTCCACGGATCTCACTTTTTTCCAATCGGACGTAAACAACGGAACCATGCCAGCATCAAGACGACGACAAGCTTCTCAAGCCCAGAGTTCTGTGAGCAATGAGGCACATTCGGTGAGACAGAAACTGACGACGTCCAAGGGCTTTGAGAGACATTTTGCAAAGCATGACTATCATGATTTTGCTCGATGTCAGCCCAGCGAATTGGACGAGCTTAACCTGAAACCCATCCGTGGTGGTGTTCAGAGCCCTTTCCCAGTAGTCTTGCATCGCATGCTGGAAGATTCGGGTATCAAGAACTTTGCCGGTATCGTATCTTGGCAATCACATGGCCGTGCGTTTCTCATTCGCCAACCAAAAGAGTTTGTGGCATCAGTGCTTCCAAAGTACTTCAAACACTCCAAACTTTCTTCTTTCCAAAGACAACTCAGTCTGTATGGTTTCATCCGTCTCACCCATGACGGAGCTGATCGCGGAGCCTACTACCACGAAGCCTTTCTCAGGGGACGAGAATTTCTTTGCTCCAAGATCCGAAGAACAAGGATCAAGGGAACCTGGATCCGCACTTCCAGTTCCCCAACAGAGGAGCCAAATTTCTATCTAATGGAACCAGTTTTTGATCTCAACGCTACTCGCACAGCGCCAACCAACACAAACTTTCTATCCACCATGAAGTTTCACGCCGTAAGTGATGAAGATTCCTCGGCTCAATCGAACGACACCCAAGTTCAGGCGCCACCACTTCAGCCTCCACCACCGCTCGTTCCTTCCAATGTGGTCCGCCCTATGGCTACCCAGAATTTGTCCATGAAAATGGCCCCCAGTCCACCCCAAGCCTCACTGGCATCAATGGCATCCATGCAGTGGTTTCCCAAGGTTGTCGAGTGTGACAACAATAACAACAACATTTCAAATCAGCGTTTTGGATTTGGCTCTTTTACAATGCCCAATATGATTGACAATGATATTGCTCAATTCTTGACCGGTGTTGACCTCGACATTGATGAAGAGCTTTCTTTTAGCGAGGTGATTCAAATGAGCCCAGTCTAATTATGAAATTATACAGTATGGTGCACATATATTGCCTCCAATAAGTTACGGGGTGAGCTGTTTGTATTTGTAACTCTACATTTATACTGCCTACAAAAGAACAGATTTTAAAAATAAAAAATAAATACACGTGTATCAAATAGGAAAGCTTTCGACAGGATTTGCTATATTCACATGTTTCTAACTTCCACCAAAGAAGCTTCGCCGCTTGGGCTTTTTCTGATTTTCTCCTTCGAGGGACTCAGATGTTTTGCCAAAGGCTCCATGACTTGCTCTCCGAGCAAACTTGGCGACACCCTTCTTGAAGGACTTTTTGGAGAAAATCTTTTTGGCTTTGGACGGTGACTTTGCTTCCCCGCCACTGCCTTCACTAACATTGCCCAGCGACTTGGAGCTGGTATCAAAGGACATTTTGCTGTCCTCCAAAGTCTTTGGATTGCGATTCGATTTCGATCGTTCACTGGAAAGGACACCCGCCGAGTGCCTTGAGGTAGATCCCTCGTCATACGAATCATTTATAGTACTTTCTTCGGCTCGAGTAGTAGTTTCATTGTCAGAATTAATTGGAGAGTTGACCGGACCTGGTGGATCTTGCCCACTTGGCATTCTGGGTGATTGGGGAGGTCTCCCTCGCGTACTGCTGGCACCTGACATTTTACTAGCAGCCGATTTCTTGCTGGTTACCGATGCGGTCGGGCTTCTTGGTTCTTCTATCGATACGGAACTAATTGATCGGGATTCCATGGAAAAGGAATTGACGGGCTTGTCCTCGTCGACGCGTTTGGTGCCGATACACCACAAAAATGTGGGAGATGCAGAAATGTGTGTAATGTGCATATCCTGCAAACAATCCACTCGTTTTGGCAAAGCCACATTGTGCGACGAGTCAAACGAATGTGTATGGCCGCTCTTGATGGAGGTTCCAGTGGGAAGTGGCAGTCCCGGTTCTGCATAGACCAGTTTGGATGGATCCAACTTGGGAAGCCCCAGACTCTCCACATCGTTGCAACCCCAGGAGTAAACATGTCCAGCGGAACTGGTGGCATAGGAAGAATTGCCAGAAGCATGGATTGAGAGTACCTTTGCTACCTTTGCGAGTCTGTCATGGACACCCAATTCGGATGAGCTGCCACCTGATTGCTGTGACTTGAATTCCCGGTTGGCTTGCAAGGCGACAAAATCAAGATCCGCCACTAGTTTGGGCTTTGGATTCAACTGTATGATCGAACCAATACCAAGTTGCCCTTCAAAACCACCTCCCCATCCAAAGACACGGCCTCCGCCCGTGAGCGAAAGTGTGTGGGCATCCCCAGCAGCAATATCCACAATCTGTACCTGTGTCAACGCTTCCACTTGCTTGGGAGGCGCTGTACCTCCTCGTCTTCTCCCAACTGGCCCACATTGACCAAAGCTACAAGATCCCCAACAATAAACAGCTCCCTTGTCGTCCAGAGCAACCGAATGGGATCGACCGGCTGACAGCTTGACAATTTTTGGGTTTGTCCGTTGCAATTCAAATCGAACACGTTGAGGCGCTGTCAGAGTCGGCGGATCCTTGGTTGGCTTCATCCCGCATTGTGAATTTCGATTGCATCCCCAGCTGTATATTTCTCCCGCTTCCGTGAGGGCCATGGCGTGCCAATATCCCGCACAAATTCCCTTAATAGGAGCACCCACAACATGAGGAAGAAGTGATTCAATGACAGTTGGATGGTTTATACAAGGAGCACTATCATGCCCCAATCCCAGCTGTCCAAAATGGCCAGCACCCCAACTGCAAACTGCCAGACCTCCTTCCATGCGTGCCAATCCAAAATGCCGGCCACAGGAAATCTCGACACATTTGAGAGGGAGCGGAATAATGGTCCGCGTAATGGGAGTCTCAATTCGTCCATGCATGGTTCCAGACATGTAGATTTTCCCTCCCCTCGTCAAAAATACGGTCGCCGACGCAGTGGTGTCTACCGAAAGGAGAGTGTCGTCCTGTTCGTCCCATGGTGCATTGCCTGCTTCCAACACGTAGGCTTTGATTTTGGTGCTTTCGTCATGCCTCAGACTCACTCGCTTGGCAGGACCCATATTGCGAAAGTAGTTGGCACCAAAGCCAACCAAAAGGGGAGCATCCGCAGAAGGCATCTTGTGTTGTATGTTTGTGTGTGATATTTGTGGAAGTAGGTAATCGATTTTGGTGAGCCTATTAATATGGAAATTGGACGTGCTTTCTTTGTTTGTACAATCCCGTTTTGGAGTAGCGTTTTCGAAAGGATGTGTCAGTCACTGAATGCCTTTCCCGTTGGTTTTTGTATTTCTTTCTTGACAATGAAAGTCTAGCTGTCGAGGTATAAGGAAAAAGATGCACAGAACAGCACTAAAACATCAATACACAGACGCTGATGATGATTCAGAAGGGGGAGAGAGTCGCCGACTTCAAAAATTTGGTCATCTTCCGAAAGTTTTCGTCCACTTGGGTCGGACGACAGACAGGTAATGTGACTATTCGACTAGATCGACCATTGTGACGTTTGACATCATTTGAAATCGAAACTGCGAATTTTGAAAGAAGGAATCGCGAACCCAAGCAGTCCATAACCTCCAAAGATATCTCGGAAGATTTGCAACTACGAGTAGAGTTGGTTTTGTGTTGTAAAATACTGACATTATATTGATAATACAACCATGGTAACGGCGAAAATCGAAAGTGTTGCACTGGGTGTTGCTGCATTCTTTGTCCTGCACCAATTGGTAGCCTTCAAAAACGAGCGCAAAAAGAAGAATGAGTAAGTGTTTTATAATAACAAGATTCGGGTGTTTACCGAGAAAGCGAAGGATGTCGACAATGTGGCTGACGAATACTTCTTTTCCGATTGTCTACACACACACGCGCGCACTACACACACAGAGTCACAATCACACTCCCCGATTGGGCCATCGAGTACTTCAATTCCTTTGACGGCAAGGTATTCAAGTCTCAAGAAGAAATGATGGCCGTCGCAGTGGAAATTTCCAAACGTAATGTGGACAAAGATACCGGAGGACCCTTTGGAACGGCGATTTACAAGGTGGACAAGAAAACTGGGGAGTCTACATTGTTCTCGGTGGGTTGCAATCGTGTCGTTTCCTTGGGCAATTCTACCTTGCATGGAGAAACAGTAGCCATCCAAATGGCCCAAAAGAAGTTGTCGACCTTTAGTCTTCGAGAGGAAGATAAGGAGTATCATTTGTATACTAGTTGCGAACCATGCTGCATGTGTTTGGGTGCAACTCTCTGGTCGGGAGTATCCAAGATGGTGTGTGCTGCCACCAAGGATGATGCCGAAGCGATTGGATTCAACGAGGGACCCGTCTTTCCAGATAGTTACAAGGCTTTGGAATCGGCAGGGTGCAAAGTGGTTCGAAAGGTCTTGCAAAAGGAAGGGGCTGCTGTGTTGCAACACTATGGCAAAGTGGGGGTTATCTACAATGCGGATGGTTCCTGAATCAAAAGTTTGTTACAACTAGATGAATGATGGATCCTTCATGTTGTTGCGTTTTGGCCTTGCCTGTTGGAATGGGTTTTTATGTTGGTGCAATATCAGTTTGTCAATTATTTTCAAAAGCGCAATTTGTGATTCGACCATGGAGAAAATGATGTAATTGACGGCCCATATTGAATATTGTTTGTCTCTATCAGTGCAAATCTATTTTACTAGCGACGTAGGTTGTCTTGCTGTTGTTGTTGCTCTTATTGTAATGCATAAGACACTAATGCATCCGGTGCCATTTCACCTTTCAGTATCTTAGCAAAGTCGGATAGTAGCATCTTTGCCTTGGGTCGTCCTTTGGTTCCTTTTCTTGCCAGTGTGAACAGTATGGAAACGACTTGAGAGCACATATCAGTCGTCATATTGGTATCCTTCGACGAGATGACAGATGTCATACTAGATAGCAACCATTGTTGCAGCATCTCATCAGTAAAGTCTGCAGATCCATTTTCTCCCCGTGGATTATTCAATATCGATTGCACGATTTGAAATAGACAATCGGCATAGGCTGGCCACAGCATTTGGGGTCCACCGGCCAATCCAACCACACAGGATTGTACCAAACTAGACCCGTGGTGTTTCAACATATCCTTCAAAACCATTTGCCAGGCTTCCTGAAGTACCTGTTGAACTTGTGGAGATACTCGTAATAGATTGAATCCAAAAAGCTGGGACAGAAACATAAGTGAAGCCCTTGTTGATTCTTTGGCACCGTTCAGAGCTCTTATGGATTCTACCGCCAACGTCAATATCGTTCCAAACTGTGGGTTATAACACAGCGCTCGAGGTCCGTAGAGTATGAATCGTTGCATGCACTCAAAGAAACTTTGCAACAGCTCGGCGCACTCCGTCGATTGGGCGTGGTTCGCCACAATGTTGGTCACATGAGCAAGAAGCTCCTTGAAGGAGTGATCAACCTCGTCTGACTTGCCACCAAACATCTCCACGGCCGCGGAAATGTACCTAAGTGTCGAGGGATCCTTGGTACCTTCCAACGCTTGCACGATCAAAGGAATGGTATTGGAAAACATTGCCAGCACCATGGATTCTTGTGAGGCCGAGTTTCGTAATAGCTGCATGTGAATAGTAATCCATTTTGGAATCACCAATTGTTGGGCTCCTAGGTTTGTCGTTCGCCCTTGAACTGCTTCGAGAAATGGGCCAATTTCCATCAACAGCCATTCACTGACAGCGGGCACATAAGGCGCATCGCAAAATCGAACAATGACATGGATTACCGACATGATTCTAACCAAGGACTCGAGTGCCAATTGGACATTGGGCGAGAGCCAGTCTTCCGAGTCGCCTGATTCCGGGAACGCATTCATGGCAAGCTGACCCCGTTGTACAATTGGATGGATCAGATCGTTCACCAATCCCTGTCGCGCCATTACTGCATCCTTTGTTTTTGTTACCAGTCGAGTCGCACCCTCGGCTACCATCGTCATCGCTTCTTCTGACGAAGTTGCCAAGGCTGCCTCCATGGAATCTCGAACTGATTTCAACACAAGTGGCATAATGCTCGAAGACTGATTGTTTGATCCCTGAAGATCATCCAGGCTGGGCATGGACTTTGACAGGCAGGATACAAAAACGGCTCTTGTCGCCTTGGCAGATTCGAGAGGCAAGATGGAAAAGGAAGATTGCAGAAATTGAAGGAGTCGAAGAATTGCCTGCGGTGGACAGTTCATTGAATTCCAAGCCGGGCAGTAGGATCCACAAAAGTTCAGTATGGAAGCTAACAGCACTGAATGTTGTTGCTTCGCATCGACAGAGACCAACTGGTCCAAGAGTTGCAATAATTCTTGGCAAGTCAAGTCTCGGTCGCGGGCAATGGATGTTCCGGCTGCAGCATTGGATTTACACCGCCCACAAACATCACGAGCTATTTGCGAAAGGCAAACAAGTGCAGCTTCGGATGCCGTCCAATGGGTCGCTGTACGCACATGATTGGTCAGAGTTTGTATCAGTTCTCCTCGCAGTAGATAATATCCACTAACTAGCACATCTGTCACCATGCGGCGTAGCTCATTAAATTCTTGGGAATCGAGATCCAGTTCTTCTTCCCAGTTCACAAAGTTTGTTGGGTAAGCCATCCGCGTCAATAGGGTAGCCACCACCTTTCGGAGCAAGGGTTTTCGCCAGTTCTCATGTCGATCTTCTAATGGAGTTTCTTGAACCGTCAGCCAACAATCCAACGGGATTAAGGCCACTGGCGTATGAGGATGGGCTTGAATCTGCAGCAAAAACTCCAATCCGACTTCGGCTGGTTGGGAAATTAAATCGTCCACTTGCTCCGTCACAAAGGTACATATCAAAGTGGCTAGCGCATGACAGGCATCGTGCCATTCATTTTGAGACGCCAATTGCATGGGGCCTACAATGAAACCACTCGAGATGGCGTTCCACATGGATGCAGCTGCAGCTTCTCGTGTAGGCGTACAATGATCGGAAACTACCATTACAGCTGCTGTCAGTGCCTGAGATGCTGCTTGTAAGAGTCGTTCGTCATTGTAGCTGGTGGATGATGACAAGAGTGACATTAGCGCTGGTAGCACTGCTCTTTGCCCTCCACAGGTGGGAGTATTGAGTTGAGATAGCGAAACATGGGATATATTGGACCACTCCTTTAACGCCATGCATGCAGGCAGCTGAATGTTAGAAGTTGAAGTGTCCTCCAATCCCCTCCGTATTATGTCCAACACCACTTCCAAAAAGGGTACCAACTCCTGTGTTACTTGTGGCGTTGTAAGGTCCTGGCAAGCCTCCATTTCGTAGGGTATGCACGCCAGTAATCGGAACATGGCATCTGGAGGAAGATCAGAATTTGTATTTCCAACATGGGACATGAAATCCGACAAAATACCACATCTGACAATGACGGCGGCATTGCATATGCAGCATGGAGTCAGTAGGGAGGATAACGATGCGTCGGTAGAAAATTGTTGTTGTCTTGCATATTCCCACAGCTCTTGTCGGACGATTTGAATAGATGGATGCCATTTGGAAGGATCATTCCGTGGGATCTCCTTTCGTAACTTGGTTTGCAACATTGTGAGACAAAGCATTTGCATGGCTATTTGGTCGCTTGTTTTTTCTTGCATGGAGCGAAATGATCCCAGCCACTTGGCATATACATCCCATGCGTCGTGACGTTGTGTCCATTCTTCCAAGAATTGTGAAGCTTGTCGGCGAGTCGCTGAATCCGTTGTGGGGTTGACCATTGCCAATGCTGCTTGGGCAACCTGATCTTCCATGTTTCAAATTTCAGTTGCTTCTCGTTGAACTCAAGAAGGATGTGCGAAATTATATCTTAAGACAACCAAGTCTCCGATAAGCTTGAGCTTCTTGTACTGTATATCCTCACAGTAGAGCCCTGCCCAGCACCAATGATGATGAATTGAGACACCAAGTTAATTCATTCAGATGCCCGAACTTGATAAAAAATTCAGGCGGTTTCAGCAGAGTATGTTACGGTTCGTGAATCAATCCGGCCTTCCCTGGCAAATAACAATGCTGCTGAATATGGTTTCTGAGATTCCTTTAATAAAACGTAGGAATAGCTGGAAGCAGTGCTCTGGAGGGCGTTTCGTGGTATGATCCTCTGAGATTCCAATGATCGATCGAATTTGGGATGGATGCTGACAAAGGGACAGACGTTATTATCAGGATGGTGACAGAGGGACAGACGTCGACCAACGCCGTTACACGATGTCGCGGGCAGAGCTCCAAATTTTCGAAACTGCCAACCGAAGATGTGAGCATGGACGATTTCAGAAACATGTGGACTATGAAGTACTGGTAGCTTCCATTTGCCGTCAAACCTTCTTCCAACAAGTGCGATACATTGAACTTACATCTTCGTCTTTTTTTAATCGAAAATAATGTCGAGTTCCCTACAAGTCTCAACGGTTCGAAGCGAGGATCCTTCCATTGACAATTCACAAGTCATTGATCCGGCCTCACCGAGAATATCTGCCTACCTTTCCCCGCCGCGAAAGGAACCAAAATCCTCGTTGCCAGCTTTGCACGAGCAAAGCACCGAGTGTACACAATCCGCCTCCGATGATTCTGTCTTTGATAATGTCGAGGACACACGTCACACGCAACAGAGCGTGACTGGTCGTGCTGGTGGGGCGTATGCTGACAATTCAACACGACACGCTCACAATGATCCTACCAGACATATTTCTAACCTTGGAGGACCTTACCCAACCAGAGGACGGGCTACAAACAGTCAACATTTCCCTCCTGGAACCTCAAGACTAGAGCATTCTCATTCTACTAGTACTTCCGCTCTAGTTGACGACACTGCTACACCGTCCAAACAAGCTACTAATCAGCAAGGGGCAAGATCTTCCGAAGCAGCAGCATCTCAAGCGACGATGCAGCAGAATGATACTTCTTCCAGTAACAACAAGAATCAGCGAGGAAGTATTGAAGAGTCATTGGGCATTGACTATGCCCGTTTTGAAGACGAACCAGAGGAGATGGCCGCTTGGGTGATCCATGCTGCCTTGATTGGTTTTTTCTCGCTAGTTTGCCTCTCTCTGATTCTTTCCTTTGTGGTGATTCAGAGCTATGGATTCCTCACCCTAGTGTTCCTCGGGTTTCTGATTGGATTCTGTATTGGTCTTGCCATTTTCGTCGACAGAACCATCCTACAAAAGAACGAGAAGCTCAAACCGATTCGCAACAAGATAGCCTCTGCCGTCACAACAGCCAAGGACGTTATTCGTGAAGAGATCAGTTTATTCAAGAAAGAATGGAGAGAGTTTCACCTTCTTTTGACGAATGGAGAAGATGACATGGACGGTGCAAATGGAGAAGCTGACAAAGACGATGCTTATGTTAATGTTGACACCACGACGACCGTACCAAAAAAGAAGAAAAAGAGTGTCATCTTCAAAATGGCCAAGCCTTTCTTGGGTGTAAAGAAGAAACTATTCAAGCGGAAACGAAAACAAGAGAAAACGAATCAATCATCTGCAGCAGTGGAATTGGTGTAGTTGCACCACCTCGACAACCACGACCGCCCTGGTCTGTGAAAAAAGATAACACAGAAGAACACGTGGAGAGCAAAGATATCTTGACTACAATCGGGATCAACATCGAAGATAAAAACGTCAAAATAAGCAAGCCAGATGCGTTAGATCTGTTTTTACAGTTGGGTTGTTGAGACCTGGAGAAGCTACTTCTTGCAAGAGTATTGTACTGGTACATTGTCGTCGGTAGTTTTTTTGGGGCCATTCTTAAAGGACTTACTTAGTGCCGTTTTCAACAAACTTTGTGACATCTCTTGGAGCTTTCATTTCAAACAATAACCGAAGTGCACAAACACAAACTTACAGGAAACAATTCATCCATATTGAGCGTCTCTATCTCAGTCGATGAGACTGTGGTATTTTTGTTTGGAGAGAGAAGGTTCGCAGCCCAAAATTCGATATGTGGTGCTGTTTCTGTTGCCACTCTTGTACCTTCAATCCTTGAACGTCGTTTCACTTTACAAGAAGGACCAAACTTGGACCGAAATTTATGGTTCCTATGTTGCCGTGGGTCATAGTGAACAAGCAACGAAAACGCTGAGTGACGAGACCAGTGGCAGTGTATATGAAAATAGGCATCCATACGATTCCATTCCCAAGTGGATGACATCCTACTTTCAGTGGCACAGTCAACAACTCGAGCTGATCCACGACCAGAACCAGGATGATGGAATGAATAATCAATGGCGACATCACAAAGTTCTACTTGTACGATGCATGGATGATGATCGTTGTGGAGGAACATCTGATCGATTGAAATCGATTCCACTCTTTCTAATATTGGCAGCCAAAACGAACCGACTCGTGTTTCTACGTTGGACTCGTCCTTTTTCTCTGGAGGAATTTCTCATTCCGAACGATCAACGACTTGACGATGTAGACGACAGAAATCAATATAACTACATTTGGAATTGGACGGTACCAAATACTTTGGCGAGCATTCTGGACGCAGAACGAGACGCCAATGGAACCTACAACCAAACAACGATCCTCTCCAAGAAGAGCCAGCAATTAGTCTCTGCAGTCCAAAATCCAAGCATCTGGCTTGTTCAGGGGAACCTTCAATTTAGTGGAGCAGCACTCTACGAATCTTTGGCTGAGGAAATGATGGCAAAGGACGAACAAGAGTCCGACACGAATGCCTCAACAGCTGTTTCAGACTTTACAACTCTGTATCATTACTTCTTTCATGCAACTTTTGCTCCAGCACCTGCCATAAGAAGCATTGTCGATGAGTTGTTCCAGCGACTTCATTTGCAACCGAACCAGTTTGTAGTCATACACATTCGAGCCAAGTATCCCGGTGAAGTTTTTCGAGAGACTGGGAATTTGACAGCCTTGGAAGAAATTGTAGACAATGCCATTTGCATCGCTTCCAATAATTTGATTTCGAGCAACATCAATGTTAGTGAAGCAATGCCAATATATTTGGCGGCCGACGCCATGCCTGTCTTACAAGCAGGCATGGAGCACCCAAATGTTGTCTCTCGGTTGTCGTCTTCACAGCAGAATGCAGAAGAAAATGATCCGCCTCACTTGAACTTTGCACAAAAGGATGAGCCTTCAGCTTTCTACTCCATCTTTGTCGACTTGATCGTTATGAGTCAAAGTAGATGCGTTACCTTTGGAGCTGGTGGTTTTGGGCGATTTGGATCTTTGGTGAGCTATGACGTGTCATGCAGGCAACCGCACACAATCAAGGGGAAGATGCAACCATGCAACGGATAGTGAAATTCTTAGGCAGCTTTCATTCAAGTTCCAGTGAAAGGCTGCATTTGATTCCATTGTATGATCATCTGTCCACCACCGAACAACGGCAGCGGTTTGGTAGCGATTTGGACGCATCGGCAGCTAAAAGTGTCAAACAGCAGTCAGGGTCGAGCAACCGTTGTTATCCGGCGTCAAAAGTACAGGATCATTGTACTAATACCGCACTTTCCCAACGATTCCTATTCGTTCTGATCCTCCTTCATGGAGGCAACATCATGAGCAATGCAAAGAAGCGACCCCGATCACACCAAGATGAAGAATCGATTACTCCATCAAAGAGATTTCATCACCACACAGGAAATCCTGACCTACGAAGTTTCGAACAGGACGACGATTCGTCTCTCGATGAGACTGAAGCCGACGCGCTAACAAGTCCTGCTTTCTTGTCTAAATTACCATCATCACTCCTTTGGCATATCTTTTCGTTTGCTACCCATGATCAGCTCGTCTTGCAGCTCTCATTGGTATGTCAGAAGTGGTATCAAGTGGTGTGTTTTTCAGATAGTCTCTGGACGGGAGTGGAAGATTGGCTAAACACAAAACTACCAATTATGGAAGATCCAACAGGACGAAGAGACGGAAAGTGTGTTTGGACTGGAATCCAGTGTTGAGACACAGACATTTTTGGACAACAGAAGTCAATCGATGCTATTTGACAGCTTTACAGTTACGACCAGCGCCCTTCACAAGCTTCGACATCGGAAACCATCGTCGGCAAGAAGAAACTTCATCGCCGCCTATCGACGCCAAAACTGAGCAAATATCTAGTACTAGTACTAGTAGTTTTGTCGAATATGGCGTTTTTGGATTGCGACACCCAACCTCAGGCCATTGTGATGCAAGAAACCACTCACATGAAGCTCGGGGGAGGAAGAATGGGTATGAAATGCCAGATTTGGGTCGGCATCAGCTATCAAACTATGTTCTTGGACATGCAGCGGCAGTTGACAGTTTTGGGTTTTGTGGGTTGTTTGCCTGTCCGCCGTCCGCTCCGATTACAGAAATTAAAAAAGCAACCATCACTTTGAACTTATTGGTACCTGTATCAACTCATCGCTCGCACTATCTTGGAGAAGCAGAACCTTGTTTTGCATTTGGGTAACATCGAAGAGAGAATGTCAGAAAAGTAGTAGATCTTTCACTGCACAACAATGTCATCCTACTCTCTCTATCTCTGTCCTACCGAAAAGTCGTTGGCCTCTGCCAGAGAAGCAGTTCCTGCAGTCGAAGTGCATTTGGATGCAGTCGAGCAAAAGGGAGACTGGGGAAGCAAAATCCATATCACCCTATCCAGCTTTGCCGGCTCAACCATGCAGGACACCAAACCAAAACACCGATCTAACAAGATGCACCCAGGCAATATCACAAAAGTTGTGAATGACATTTGGGATGCAAAAATATCTGAGGGCAAACCGTTTCATATTTCCGAAGACAAATGGGACCGTGGGAAGAAGAACAAGTGGGGAAACCTGTTCAAATTTTCCGTCTCCAAAGAGTGCAAAACCCTCGAAAATATACTGAAACACGTGAACAAGGAAGAGCTATTGCAGGGTGAAGATGGGGAAGAATCCTTGCAACTTGTCCTACTCAATCCGAAGGAGACGGTGAACCAGTTACACGTATCGTTTCTGACGTCGTCTGAACCGGAAAACGATGCCGATGACATCAGGAAGTTTCTCTCGCTGTTGAATTGGTTTGTTTGTATCGCTGAGCTTCCGGAAGATAGAGAAGATGGAAGCGACCTACAAATTCTGAGCATACCGCAAGCAAAAATAGGAGACTAGGAAACAGTGAGTCTGAAAACCAGGATTCAGCCTACTAATTGTGTAATGCTTGAATCTGACGGTTGACTTAATGATTGCTGGAGGTACCGTAACGAGCACTCTGTATCATTCAATATGGTTTCAATAAAATTAGATCATTGCCAGTTCTCCACTTCATCAATACAGGTGTAATGCTATTTTCGACCATCCACATCATCCACATCTTGCATTACTGTAGGATACAATTTTTCTGTCAGAGCCTGACCGTCCGTCCATCACGGTTTATTCTTTTACTCGCGATTTGAAACTCATTCATCCTCCAACCACATTTCATTTCAACGGGGATATGATCGACTAGCTACTTTGGACACGCTCAATAAAAAGAAATGGTTACTTTAAGCTGGGCAGAAAATTTAGTTGGACGAGATTGGGAAATCTGGTGGTCTGACAATGAAGAAGGCACTTCAGGGGACAATAATGATGATGGGAATCAAGACCAACCATCTGGAATGGATGTCGACAACAATGATTCGGTATTGGATGACACGATGACAGGTCGGGATCTAGTGTCATCTACAGTCATGGCTTCGCTTGATAATACCACAGATGATCCTGTTGATCGAAACGAAAATAATGACGAATCGGAAAGTGAAGGGGAAGGCAGTGTCATCGACGATTGGTATGCCGGCCGCATCTTGTCCTTCGAGCAATCTGGGCAATCTTTCATCTTCAAGGTTATTTTCGTTGGCGACGAGGAGGAATATGAAATGGCCCTTGACTCAACAAAAGTTCGTCCGAGTGCGATTGCTTGGATTGTAAGTGTCATGTTCATGAGCATTGTCTATTTCTTGTTCTGTCAGATCTCATTCCCTCCTAGAAACGGACAAAGGCAATTCTTTGCTCGTCTGAATTCCCATCTGACTCGGAGCTTCCGCCTGACACAAATACCGATCTAGATTCCACGGCACTGAGTGAAATTGAAATGGAAAACGAACAGTATCACCCCACTTTGTCCATTCCACAAAAAGGGAGAAAAAAAGCTGAGACAATAGGAAACGAAGATTTGCGCAGAGTTCTTCGCATGAAATGCTTACTTCGAAGGCAAATTTATCTTCGAACTAAACTGGCAAAGATAGAGAATCATGCAGGTAGTGAAAAATACGTGGATGGGGAACCAAATCCCACCGAAACTTACGTCAATCATCTTGTGCTATGTTGCAACGATCAAATAGAGTTTTGTGACTGGTTTTGTCGCTGCTGGAACTTCCTTTGTACAATCTTCTGTGAAAAGTCAAGCGAATCGCAATCAGATCAACCAAGACCTACGATTGACCAAGTTGTGGCAACTTATTTCGAAACGGGGAAGAACGTAATTATGAACTTTCTGTCGATCGATGTAGAATCGAAAGTCTCGAAGAGGCGACAACCTGTGACATATACCACACAAAGCGCCCGCCAGTCAAAGCGAAGAAGGAAAATGAAGGGCGGAAGTGACTCCTATGATGGTGGCCCAACAAACTCAATTGCAGATCCATTACTCCAAACGATAACGAATCACTCTGAGGCTTTCTTGATGAGCATTGCCGAGGAAATGATGAAGACGATATGTAGCTTCGTTATTGATAAAGCATTGACATGGAAGCATGATGCGGAAGTGTTGTTGAGGCTAGCTGAAGCCGACAAAGCGCAAGTGCTGAAATCCAATGAGGGCGATGAGTCTGGATCAGCAGATTCCAAAGATGATGTAACCAAGTATGTTACTCTGGAGCAAATCAAACCCGTCATAGATTCGGCTATAGAAGATGATGTCATGGCGCAGCTTGACACCAATCCCATGAAGGATTCATTGCAAAAGAAGATGGACAAAGTCCTTGAAACAGAAGTCATTGCCCGAAGTTTACTCTCCCAAATTGGAAATGAAGACGGCGACTCAACCGATAACAGCGATAAAATCCTTTCCAGCCTACAGAAGATCAGTGAGGAACTTGAAAATAGCGAGAGTCCATTGCGCAACGTCGACCCCATTGGAAATTCCGAGCATCCGATTTCACGTGATGCAATTCGTGAAGCGATACAACTGAGATCTTGGCTAATAAAAGTGTGGCATGCAGGCAAAGTGAGAGAACGATACGCCTTCATCGAAGACTTGAGCGATCATATTGCGGAGCCACCAGGTGTTTCGTATCTTTCTGAAGTGACGGAAAGTGCGCATCTAGCGTCTCAAGTTGCCGATGCACAAAAGCAGGCTGAAGCTTTGGTTGACCAAGCCAAGCTTGCAGCTTCCAAGGAGTTGGCCTTAGAGGACCTCTGGGATTCTTCGACCGTTAATCTCCAGTCGATAGCAGGAGTCGAAGATGTAGCAGCTTCGCTATCTTCGAATTCGTGCATTTTAATGAACGAAGAAAAACTAGCTCTTCGAAAGGATGTTCTTTCGTGGGTTGAAACGGCAAGGGAAATCATGTCCAAAGCTGGCGAGAAAGGTCATGACTTCAGTCAACTTGAGATTCTAAACCAGGATTGCCAAGAAATTTTGAAAGGCCGCTCAAAGGGACTCATGAGATTGCTGGAAGGTGTCCACCCTAACACCAAAGTAGAAAAGGAATTGGAACGCTTTGGTTCTAGTGATATCTCTTCAATCGGTGGACCATTGCTTAACGAGGTATCACAGTTCTATTTGACAGCTTTGCAGTGGAAGCAAAGAAGCCAATCCATAATATCTACACTACGACTCCATGGTAACACTTTTGCCGGGGAACCGATGTCGGCACAAAAGACTCCACCCATGGTCGATATCAAGAGAATCAAAGACTTGCTGGCAGAGTACAAATCTCTAGGGGTGCAGTTACATAACGAATTCCAGGTGCTCGAAGCCGTCGACAAAGAAGCCACAGAGTGGAGCGTCCGACTATACCAAAAGCTTAATCAAGATTCTATCTCACCAGCAGAGTGCCTTTCCGTTCTGTTGGAACAGCGAGATTTACGCCCATCAGGAATGATCGTTGACCCTGTTCGGCATCTGTTTGATTTGATGGTTGATACTCTGACATGGTATCAGCGGATACAGGAGTCCGTTAAGTTTGCTGAAACCGAAGTGCTTGGTCTGACCAAGAATAATCGTCCACAATCTGAGATTGACCAGAAACATTCTTCACTCTGTGTTGATCGCTTTTATCCTTTACTTGTCGATGGCAGCGAGGTCTTGCAGCTCTATGCCAAAACTACTGGGCTTGGTGATTTTGCGGCAAACCTTTCGCAACAATGCGAAGAGATCCTTGAGTCGTTTGGTCTCCGAAAAACTTCAAGGGCTATCCAACTCGAGAAACTTCAAGTTCATCCACTCGGAGCTGCAATTATATCGAAAATGATTCTACCAACGGATAGAGAGAACACAATTTCTCCACTCTTCGTTTTGCTCTGGTATAGCTGGCATTTATTTGTCAGCGATCTAGTGTGGAGGTCTGGAACTGGCACAGCTATTGCGAAAACTAGCCAACAGATGAAGGCACCAACACTGGAAAGCGCACTACAAGTCTTAGCAAAGGAACCCAAAATACCTTCCAGTCAAGGTCAGAGTTCGGAAGCGCTGCTGATAGCCACTAAGACAGTCGAAATCACGCAGATGGACGGACTCATCTCGGATGCTACAGGGATTCAAGAGGGAATTCGAAATCTGTTGTCACAGTCCAAGGAACTGCTCAAGGCGGGGTTTCAAAAAGCTGATCTCGTTCAACAGCACCTAGCAAGCCTCAAGGATTATCTTGCGTCATTCAGGACCCAATCAAAATCCAGTGCTGGCTTCGCATTGGATCCATCCCTTGATCAACCCCTGGATGAGGATATTAAAACCTTTTCTTGGTTTGTGAGTAATGGTTCTTTCTTCGGATAAATCTCTTGATGCAACGACTAACGACTTTGCTTTGACTTCTCCAGGTTCGGACGTTTTCTTATCCCTTCCTTTTCTTGGATGAAGCTTCGTTCAATAGACCAATCGATAGTCGAATTCCATGGAATGTACTTGTGAGTCTTTATGAACGGCATCCCAATGACCCTGGTGTTCAAGTTGGTTCCTTTGCTCTGGTGTCACTTCGGGTAAAAGAGTTGTATGAGGCTGGAACACAATGGCAAGAAGAAATCACAAAATTCACAGCCTTGACTAATCGAGGTGGAAGGCGACGAGTTCCAGGCGCTAGCCCCGCAAAGCCAGAACAAGATTCTGACGCTTCCTCAATCCTTCAAATGGAACAAATGGGGCGACTTGCTAAGCACCCTATCTTGGCCAAGATCGCCATGCCAAGAGAGACTGCCGTCAAAAGTATTCTGGAAAGCTCGAAGGAATTTGAGACCCAGCTTCACGATTTCCTGGGTTTGGACTACGAAGGAGCCAGTCCTGATCGGGCATCATTCCCATCTTCTGATTCTTTGGTTGGAAAAGGAGGGGAATTCATCTTGTATCGATTGACCGGAAGTCCACTCTTTGAAGAAGTTCAGACGCGACAGCAAAGTTTGAGCGCTGTAGCTGAGCATGTCTTGGCGGACACTCGTGGAAAGGCAACCTTTGAATGGATTTCGAATGCAGTATCTTGGATTCAATCTTTGGTGGATGGGGTGATTGACAAGTCTCCTTTCTCGGATACTGATCGGCGCATGTCCATTCCATCCGCCGAAGCGAAGATGATCTTGCAGCAAGGAGAAGAGATATTTCTGGAGCTTCCGGACGATCTGAAGAGAACCTTATCGCAGCATGGAATTATGGTGACGACCAACAAACAAGACCAAACGATCAAGGTGATTGTGAAGAAGAACGGTGCTCATCACAGCTGCGGGGGTACTGTCATTCGATGGTGCCCGATTCTCTTTCAGGCATTGAGGGCAGACATCAAGCGCTTGGCGAGATGGGAAAGCAGCATGACCAGAACATTGGGCGAGTTTAACGTCTTTTTCAAGGAGAGCCGAAATGTTGAGAAGGACGATGAAACGCTCTACAAGTGGTTTTCCTTCCAAGAACGTGTTGCCGACCTTTTGGAAAGTGGCCACGATGAATTGGTCGTGACCCCACAAAAGAATTTTGTCTCCTCCTTTCAAAACCTCCTAATCTCCTTCCAGAAGTATTTGGCTGAACATTCCAACCAGACCAAGAACCTAAAGTTTGCCATGAGATGGATATCCGAGAGTAACTCTATCATAGACGACCGCTTCCTATTGCTGGATTCCCTGCTGTATCGAAGTTCTCTAGTGGAGAATGATGATTCAGCCGATGATGCATCGCATGCGGGCGACAATTCCACCTTTCCTGGGGATTCCAACCACCGAACCTTTCGGGATTCCTGTCGTTCCTACATTGAAAAGGCTCTAAGCAAGGCACTCAAGATTACTGGAATGTCCTCCTTACCCGACCTCGCCGATATGGATTCCTTTTGCGCCATTAAAGCTTGGGAAATCGAAGGGGCAATGTTCGAACGTTATCAAGGAGATTTCGGAATCTCCAAGATATCGGAAGAATACCGGGACAAGGCAAGAAGTTTCCGATGGAGTTTGGAAGCCAAGAACAACGCATCCTTGTGTTTGCGCATCCTAATGGGAGAATTGAAAATTGAAACTCTATTGGACATGTCTTCTGAAGACCTCTCGAGTCAAAAGTTAAAACTAAAGCGAGCCAAAGCCGAGCAAGCTGCCAAATCGTCGACCATGTTGACCAAACCAAAGAGCCCAAGTACAGCAAGTGATGGCGGGGTCAAAGCCGAAGAAACCCAATTGGTAGGAAGTATAGCAGCAGTCAAAGATGAAGTGGACGTGGATACCAAAGCCAAAGACGATGGTGAGAAGGCTTCAGCAGACGACTCGAAGGAATCTCCTTCTGCCGAGTACAAGGCGGAGGCCTCAGAAACCAGTTCACCTGTTGCTGCTGCAGCTGCTCCAATCAGCGAAGCTTCTCTGAAGGCAGTCACCCAAGCCTTTAAGTCTTACAAGCCTCCGCCTCCTCCCCCATCTCTGGTCCAATCGTCCTTTCAATCCACATTGGATGACGACGATGCCGGCCATTATCAACCTGATCCAGACGTTCGCATTATGAATTCAAATGGTGGTGACCGCTTTCATATTGAAATTGTCAATTTGCGCCAATCCTTTTGGGCCGCCTTGTATCTGGAGGATGAGAATTCCAACTTTGGGAGCAACCAATTGATCCCCTCCAATTTGATGGAAAAGGGCCGCCTCAAGATTGAGGAATTTCAACGATTCTTGCACGACAAATTGGCCGGACGTCGATGGGCCGCTTTTGCGTTGAGGTTGGACATTTTGTCGGATCAACGGGCCTACAAGAAATTTTACAAGGAATACGAAACGAAGAAGCGAATTGCCATGTTTACCGTAAGCCAAAACACCAAGGTCTTTTTAGTGACCCCTAAGTTCCATCGATCGGTCCAATCCGAAGGATTGACTCTTTTGAATAAGACAAGCAGTTATGCGATTGTACTGACAAAAGAAACCGTGTTTCTAGATTAATGAATAATAGAAGATATAGTAAGGATTTTTAAAATACTACGCTCTTGAATAGCTACTTCCATCGTATCCTTTCCATCATAGCGCACATCTGTCCATTAGTTACTCCTTCAAACCTTTGACTCCTTCGAGCACGACGAACGGTCATCAACTTGAGTCCCACCAATCCGCCAAAGATCGTGGTACTTTCTACGTACGAGATCGACGAACGTTCCGAATAAGATGGAACAGAACGAACGCGATTTCCAAGAATCAAGAAACCGTCGATTGATAATATACAGTCGTTTGACAGTTGAGAACAACAAACTATTATCCACAGTACTGATTGTAAGCCTCCAACGAGTATTCTCTTGATTAACTGCTGCTGCGTTGGAATTTGCAGCTTTGCGTCCATTTCAGCTTCTCCTTCCCATCAAGATTCATTCATTCATTGATTCAATATAATTCATTGATTCCAAAGCATTCTTGACACTTCAAGTCTTACCAAAACACACAGTGAGCATGATTGGAGCCCCCGTCCCACCTCCGTCCAAGCCGCCACCACCAGCCCCACAGAATGTGCAACAACAACGAGTCAAGCCTGAAGATGCCGCCACTCACATATCGGTAAGAATCAATCCTCTGCAACGACATTATTGTTGTGGTTCCCAAAAAATCTCGTCGACTGATTCCACTTTTCTTTTTTTCTTCTCCCTTTATGCTTGATTCATTTTAGGTCTCGGATCCCGTTCAACACTCCGAAGGCGTAAACAAATACACTTCTTATCGAGTCGATGTCCGTCCGCAAGGCCCTGATTTGGGCCAAACCCAAGGCTTTAGTGCTGTTTTGAGACGATACAGTGATTTCTTGTGGCTTTATGAAAAATTGCAAGACGAACGCGCCGGTGCCATTGTTCCTCCCCTTCCAGAAAAGAAACCTACGGGACGGTTCAATCCACAATTTATTGAAGACCGTCGACGGTCTCTAGAACGTTTTCTGAGACGAGTTGCCGTTCATCCAGAATTGCAAGGCTGTAACTGTGTGGATACCTTTTTGAGAGCTGACGATGTCTCCTTTCATGCTGCCAAGCACTCCAAGAACAATGTAGTCCTGCAACAGTCTACCATGATGGGATCCATGGTTCCCGGAGCACCCCCACAACTAATGCCCAAACCCAAAAAGGAAGGATTCAAGCGTTGGTTTGCCGAAACCAAGACTTCTATTTCCGGTGATCTAGTCCGATCACCGGACGACGAATTGTTTGAAGAAATTCAGCGCTATGTGCATGGTTTGGATTCTCAAATGAAAAATGTGCAAACTCAAGCCTCTGGGCTGGTCGGAAAAGGCAAGGAAATTGCCAATGGGTTGTTTGAATTTGGATTGGCCTTTAATTTGTTAGGACAATCCGAAGCGGATGCCTTGGGTGACGCGTTGGGAAAGGTGGGCGAGACGGCCGATCGACTTTCCGTGCTGAGTGCCGAACATGCCGACAAGGAGGCTGCTGAATTTGAAGATCCTCTAGTGGATATTATCAAGACGATTCATTCCGTCAAGATGGCGCTCCAAAAGCGTCACGAAAAGCGACTGACCTACAGTACCTGCCTTCAATCAGTCGAATCCAAGCAACACTCCCTCGCCAAGCTAAGAGCCCAAATTGGTATGGAAGCCAAGGCATATGGGACGGAAATGTCCCTCCGAAGAGCCCAAGACAATGCTGAATTGGCCCGAGAGGATTTTGCCGCTACCAGTCAGCGTGTCTTGCGAGAGGTCGATCGCTTCAAGCGTGAAACGGCTGAAGACATGCGCCGTACTGTTTTGGAATATATCCAAATGCAAGTGGAATACAATAAACGAATGGAAGAGATTTGGGCTGCCTTGATTCCGCAGCTGGAACGCGTCCAGCTGGATGGAGATGCCAATGTGGTGGGAGACAATCATCATGTAGCTCCATCGCCCAGCAATGCTAGCATGATGCAATCGTCACAACCAGCGATTCATTCACAACCCATGGTACCCAATCCTCAACAAGCCATGCCTCCGCAAATGGGAAGTCAGTTTTACAGCAATACTACAGCACCACCACCACCAGTACCACACGATCCGGACAATCCCTTTATTACGCAATATCGAAATTAAAAATATGAAGGAATGAATCAATCAATCCAAGCATATGAAACCTACTATATGCACTCTAGAATTTTCAATTACAAATCATTGACACAATATACATTACTCTGTTGTTGTTTTTCATATTTTATAGAAGAAACTATTCAAGCCGTTTCGCACTTTTTCGGAAAGACAAGCAGGATGCAAAATGTATGGCATGACATCAATAATATATATAAAAGGTGTGGTAACTCTATCTTTCTGTCAGTATACTTGCACACAAGTTCGATATGTGTAGATCGGACTTAGGTTCCTGGTGCAATACTGAGATGACGGTCGCCCTACCGTCGTTCATGGAGTCACTATTGAGTCCATTGGTTCGACCGCTTTCTTCCGTCTACGTTAGAAGAGCATGTACACATCCATACTTTTATCATTGAAGAAAACAAGTACCTACAAAGACCACGAGTTTTAACGGGGCATGGAATACTGATTGATCGATTTTCAAGACAGAAGTTCATGATGATTTGTTCCCCACCATACTGTACAAGCGAAGTCCGAACCGATCCTCGTTTACAAAACATTGCGTCTCTTGACAATCCAGAAACAAACGGAGAAGTAGGATACTCAAGAAACATACAAGGAAAAAGTATACAATCCAGCAAATAAAACCTATCACCTTTTTGGGTTGTGCATGTGCAAAACGCACAGTTAGTCGCTACAGTACTACCTTCTGGAAGGATTGATTCATTCATTCGATCAGTGTGTACTAAACGGAATGCAGGGAGTATCCATTCGAAATATTGGAATGTATCGACAAATGGAGCAGTAATGCCCCTGCATGTAGTTTCACTGATCCGTGATGGCCCATGTATGAGTTGCTTCCCTCGTGGATCGAAAAAATTTATTTCTTCAAATGATTGATTGTCCCGTCGTCTTGGGGAGAGATAGGACCGTCGTCCTAATCTCATCGGTTGTGCCGGCACAATATCTTGGAGGTCATACAATAGAAAGACGGACTTGTCTTATCCCTTATGTGCAGATAGGCTGGATCGTCATCAACAGCCATCTGACATAGCTAGAAAATACACCATCAGACAGAGACCATTGATTATTACAATGGTCTCCTCAGCGAGACAGTTCGTCAACCAGTCTCATATTTAAAGCGGTCCAAAGAGAGAGACATCCCGTCTCATCGCTCATGAAAGAGGGTCTGGATCGTCATCGCAGTCCCCTCAATCACCAAAATCTTGGAGATCAGAAAGACCAATTGCCCGTGCGTTTTATTGAAAACACACAAAAACAACCAATCTCATCCCTTATGACAATATATGCATGTTCATACATATTCCCCTTGTCATAGCTAGAAAGCAACGCCAACATCTTGAAGGTCCAAGAGGGACTTGCAGCGCAAGCCCCATCCCTTATGACAACGACAGGAAGTCCTCTACAGCCTCAACTGTCGATTGACATAGCTAGAAAATCACCCGCAGCTTGAGAGACCCATTATGATCGTGGCAATCAAAAAGGTCTCGTAAGTCTTGAAGAGCAATACCACCCCTCTCTTTTTGCAAGCTCTCTTTTTGCAAGAGATGCAAAACAGAGAGAAACGGGCAGCATGAAGCAGAAATGCCAAAAGTTGGCACATTCCGATTCCATTCCAACAAAAAAAGTGTCACAAGCCAATAACGGGCAAATGTCACGATTCTTCTTGCGCTCTCCACAGCACTAGAGTGTGTGTGTGTGTAACTCTCTCTCTCTCTCTCTCTCTTGTGTGTGGGGGTCAACATGGATGGTTGTGGACCGGACAATCGTTACTTGATATGGATATCAAGTGGAACCACCATGGGACACCACCCCAAGAGTAAAAAAGAGAGGAAAAGTAAAAATTGTGTGCCGCACAAAGGGAAAAAAAACTGATTTTGTGATGCCTGCTGCGTGCTGGCTGGCAGTCCGATGGTCATTGGGGATGCTGACAGGCAGGCGAAGGAAGTCTCGAAGAAATCGAAGACCTCCGAATTTCGAACACCAGAACGAATGGTGGGATGGGAATCAAAGGAGTCGAACTGCAGAAGTGACGTAAGAACATCATCATTTGATGTCAAAGTTCGAAATTCGGCACGAGTGACGCTTTCACAGAAAGGTGTCAAAATTGAATGAATCCTGATGATGGCATGCGGTACTAACTGTATTGCAATCGAAGGGTTTGGCTATCATCAGTCATCAGTCATCATACGACTGGGTACGGATTAGCGATAGAGAACCAAAAAATTCAAAACAACCAAGTCTGAAAAAACAACCAAGTCTGGAAATAGATACTGTACGTACCGTACCTATAGTAGTATCATGACAAAATGCTTGGTGGTGGGTCTGAAGAATGTTTTAAAAATAATTCAGGTTACCGTCTCTGCATTATTCCATTTCACAAAAAAAGAGAAGCTTGAAATTGACACACAATGAGGACCAAGGTGGACGACGGCGATGATGCGAGGAGGAGCAAACAAGAGGAACGGGCAGCTCGTGCCTTGAAGGAGGCAGATGTCCTACTCCTAGTGACTGGAGCTGGCTTTTCGGCTGACAGTGGTCTTGCTGTCTACAATGACATTGGAAAGGTGGAAGCCTATCAATTGCGTAATTTGGATTATGCGGATATTTGTCAACCAAGATGGCTAAAGAAAGATCCTGAATTGTTTTATGGATTCTGGGGTCAATGTTTCAATGATTACCGGAATACCAAGCCACACGATGGATACCAAATTCTACGAAACTGGCGAGATGACAAGAATTTGATGCAACATCAAAATGACCATGGCACAACGACAGTGGCAGATGAAATTCGAACTCGGACCCTACACAAGTATCACCTCCGTCGTCCCTTTGATGATGATGCGGCTCGTCTTTTAACTCCCTACAAGGTAGACCATGAGGATATCAATCAAATTGCAGGATCCTTCTTTGCCTTTACATCCAATGTCGATGCTCATCACTATGACGTCTTTGAAGCTCATGAAATCCATGATTGTCATGGAAATATTGAGCTCTGGCAGTGTTCCAACCGAGGTTGTGAAACTGGGATCTGGCGAGCGCCCATAGACCACAAGTTTGTGGTGGACAAGGAATGGATGCTGGCACCCAAACACGTCGACGCAAATGCTAATGACGGTGATGATGGTAATGATGGTAATGATGTCGATATTGATTCAAAGGAAGTCAAGGAAGAAAAGGATGGATCCATTACGGACAAGGGCGACAGTGACAATGACAATGACGGTCCAGCCAAGGTCGGCCACATCAAGGCAACTGGAGAAAAGAGATCCAACCTTCTGCAGTACATGCCTCCTGGACTGGATCAAAAGGGATGGAAAGACATGGGTCCACTAGGAAACTGGCCACGATGTGGTCACTGCGAATCACTGGCACGTCCTGCCATTCTCATGTTTGGTGATTTTGGGTTCCACTACGACTTGCCACAACACGAACGATGGGATGCATGGAAAGAAGCAGTGATGGATCTGACAAAGTCCAAGAGTGAAAAGGAAGGAATCCAACTAAAGGTCTGCATTCTGGAGATTGGTTGTGGCATAAATGTTTCAACCTGCCGAGACTTGTCGGAAACCACTGTTCACCATGTTGCGAGACGTGGTGGCGAACCAACGTTAATTCGTATCAATCCTGACCATCCAGGCGCTCCCAAGGAGTTTGTTGCTGCGGATCACATCATTTCTATTCCATCCCGAGGCCTCGAAGCTATTCGAAGAATTGATGAAATCTACAAGACGCTGAACCAAGAATCATGACTGTAGAACAAACTCGGATCTGTGCTTTTGGCATTCAACACTGCACAGTTCTAGCGAGATAGCATACATTATCTAGTTTGCAATACTCTATGTCTAAATTACGTAGCCCATTTGAAATACAGTAGCTTTTACTTTTTGGATCCTGTAACATACTTCCCAAAAGCTCCTCGGCCGCCCAATTCCAGTTGGACCTTCGCCTCCCCATTCTTCCATACTGCCCGTCCTACCAAATCTTCGGGCGACCTAGTGGCAGCAACTCCGTCACTATCCCATCGAGCGCTTACGATCAGATCCTCCTTGTTCCACCACAGATTGTTAAAGTCTGGTGATTGACCGTTGTCCGCACTAATGCTGGCAGCACCTTCCACGGTCAAATCTCGTGGACTGACAAGACTAAAGTCCAAAGGGAAACTTGGATTTTCAATCCGTGCCGCCAAGACAGGCGGTGATTTTCCTCGGGATCCATTCAAAATTGCTGCTGGAACATTGTCGGGCTTGTCGGGTCGGCAGGTTAAATAGATTGCCGAGGAGGGTGTTGAAGAGGACAGAGATGATTGGGGGGGGTGCTGGAAACTCAATACCTGCAGCCAATGATACGGTTCCTTGTAACACCGTTCTTGGTTCGACTGTTTGGTTCATTTCTTCTTCTGCTTGAGACATTTGGGGAGAGAGTATCAGCGAGGAGGAAACCATCATGGAAAACAACGAATTGTTGACGGTTCGTCGAGAGAGGATCATCAGCATACTACTAGAGGAGTCAGCATGAGTTGATGATGGTTCGGCGTGTAGACGACTCGAGGCTCGGTGGGACCGATTTGCCACAGACTGGAAGCACTCTGTGGACTTGATAGACAGTAAGATGGCCACTATATACGGGTATAAGGAAGTGGATTTCATCTTGCAGTTGTTGTCGTGTTGGTTTGTTGTGACGTTTTGGATACAATGGCTTCCACAGCATTGATTAGTCCGACTGACGTAACACTAGTCAAAATTCTGAAAGTCTTCTGATGATTTCCATTTCAATTTTCAAAATCATACGATCGTTTGAACAACTTCATCATTACTTTCCTCTTCTATCTCTCGCTCCTCCTTGCGACTATTTTATCATCGGTGGCCGGAGATATCATGGACAGTTCGATTCCTTCAACTCCTACGGTTCCACAAGTTCATGGTCTCCCGGTTCGTGACAAGGTCTGCATCATTGGCAGTGGCAATTGGGGATCAGCTATCGCTACAAAAGTGGGCGTGAATTGTGAACGACTTCGCCATTTTGATTCCAAAGTGAACATGTGGGTATTTGAAGAAATTGTCACACTGAAAGACGGAAGAAATGAAAAGTTGACCAAGGTCATCAACGAACAACACGAAAATGTCAAATACCTTCCAAATATCAAGCTTCCTGACAATATCGTGGCAGTAGCCGATTTGGCAGAAGCCTGCAAAGATGCTACATTATTGATATTTGTGCTTCCGCATCAGTTCCTACCAAAACTGCTTCCAGTAATCCGAAAGTCGGCTCATCCGTCATGTCGAGGTGTCAGTCTGATTAAGGGGTTGGGTGAGTTCTTTGGGTTTGACTGAAGAAGTGAATGAACTGTGAAATCTAACCGCTTTTCTTGTTGCTTCGACGTATGATGAATTAATCTCTGCGAAAATTCAAAGATTTCTCTACCGAGACTGGGAAACCCATTCTCATTTCCAAGACCATCTCGGAAGCCATGGGCAGTAGCTTTCAATGTGGTGTCCTTATGGGCGCCAATGTCGCCAATGAAGTTGCTGCAGGCAAAATGTGTGAATCTACGCTAGCATCGAATTTCGGAAACGCGCAAGCGGACGAAGTGACCAGATTGGCTTTTGATACTCCTCCTAGCTTTCGTGTCCAACACATTCACGACGTTGCTGGGGCTGAAGTCTGTGGGGCCCTAAAGAATGTCATTGCTTTAGGTGCTGGTTTTGTTGATGGAGTCGGACTAGGAAGCAATACCAAGGCGGCACTCTTGAGAGTTGGATTGAAGGAAATGGCCAAATTTTGTCACATGTTTTTTGCAGGAGTGAAGGACTCGACCTTTACGGAAAGCTGTGGGATGGCTGATTTGATCACTACATGCTACAGTGGAAGAAATCGCAAGTGTGCAGAAGCCTTCGCCAAGGAACAGCTGAGTCAATCGAAGCAAGGCCAAACCAGCAGTGAAGCTATATGGGAGGCGATCGAAAAGGATTTGTTGAATGGTCAGAAGTTGCAGGGAACATTGACGGCAAAGGAAGCTTATGCATTGCTGAAGTCGCAAGGAGTACTGGATGAATTCCCGCTGATAACGGTGATTTACGAGATTGCTTTTGAAGGAAAGCCAGTGACTTCGATTGAGGAGGGTATTCGCGTCAATTCGCAAAGCAACTCCCACCCCTCACGACTATAAGAAGACGCATGTAGTTACGGTACTATTTTCAAATCATCATAGCTAAGCAAGGTGATTTTGTTACAATGCGACGACCAAACCAAAACTGAATGCTATATTTCGTCACTATCTTCTTCGTCTCGTCGTTTTCGGAAATGCCGGCCATGCGTCCCACCTTTAATATCAAATGGCTCCATACTCAAGCGAGGTTCTATTGCAATGATTTCGTCCCAAAGTTCCATCTCATTCAATATTTTCTTTAATTGGAAAGAGATGGGTGCTATGCACTCTCGTTGTTCTCCATCAAACTCAAAGTCCAGCTTCCAACAATGCAATGCCAACCGATTCCATTCTTTATTCTCCCTCCAGTACCGATTGCAACGAGAGCTACCATGCTGTGAATCACCAATAATGGGGTGCCCAATATCAAAGGCATGCCGCCGAATTTGATGCGTTCTACCAGTCAAGGGCTCACACAAGAGCAAGGAACACCGATCATCTTCCCTGCCTTTGGTAGTGGCCAAAAGTGTAAACTTGGTCATTGCATCCTTGATCGTTCCTTTGACTCGCAGTGGTTTGTCGACGAGCACGCTAGATTCTTCTCGATTCCATTCTCCTCGTACCAATGCTAGGTATTGTTTGTGGCCCTTGCGAATGGCAGCATCGTGCAACTTTCCTGCCGTTTCAGAATCAAAGGCCAACAACATTGCTCCAGATGTTCGATGATCTAACCGATGCACAGGGAAGACCTTTCGAGCCAATTGTCGTTTGACGGATGTGGTGAGGACTTTGACGTGCTTGGGGGTCCCCTTGGATCGATGTACTGTTAATCCACAAGGCTTATCAACACAAACCCAAGAGTTATGATACTGCAAGACAGGAATGCGCTGTCTCTTTGGCTGCGCATTAGTAGGGGAAGACAGTGAGTTAACGTTCAGCCACAGAGCAGTGATCAACAAAAGAAGCAGTGTGACTGAAGTCATTTTTCATTTTCTGATCTTTGTTGAGAGGTGATGATGGATGTAACAAAGCTATCCTAGTACTCACTATTTCAGTCGAAAGGTTCAAAAATACTCTACCCATCAAAATTTACCGTCGCAAAATATGATTTACGCATATTTTAGTCTGTTGCAACATCAAGCAAAAGAGATCGATGAAGCTTGACAGCTTGGAAGTATGTACGTCGATGTAGCAACATGAAAATCATAGTCATATTTGCTGTAATGTATCGGGTCTGCCAGGTACGAAGTTAGCACCGGGAATCCGCTTTTGTCGAGGATACAGCTACAATGTTTAGCTAGAGAACGAGGCAAGGTCAAGATGTCGAAAATCATTTTGGCTACAAGTTCTCGTACTATTCTACAATGAATAAGCTTCGGATTTACTCCACTTCGGAGATTCACCCTGCCAAATCGAAAAGCTGGGATACATCAAGATCTTGAGCTAAAGCGATTGTAACAGCCGTTCCGAGCATTATCCAAGAGAGGAACGGCATTGTAACCTTGGCAGCACTGACGTTCGTACCATCATTCACTGGGTCCACGCTATTTCCTATATCACCATCTTCATCACTGTTTTCATTACCATTCTCTTCACCATCCTCATCATCACAGGTTTGATCTAAAATGGTTGGAATGCTGACCAGATCTTCACACAAGTTGCCCGAATGATTGCCTTCGGTATTGGCGCAATTAAAGTTGGCACAGGTTCCTTGATAGGTCTGGTTCGATTCCGGATCTTTATAGTCGTAGTACAACATGTTGCAAGAGTCACAAGAGACTCCGTTGAATTCAATGCTGCATCCAGAGGCGTCGGTTGGTTGGTGCGCATACTCGACGCAAACATTTTGGTCGTAGGGAAGAAAGAATTCGTAGCACCAATCAATGGCGTAACTGTCTGCCGAAGCAATTTTGAATTCAGCAGATAAGTGAACACAGGTCTCGCATGATGTTTCTTGAAAGCAATAACTGTCAGCAAGAGAGCACTTGACCGACCCCGTGCGAGAATCGCTGTCAAAGGTCGAGCAGTTGCAATTGAGATCCTGAGTCCAACTTCCACTTGTTGTGCAGTAGTAGGTTGCAGCATCGACATAGTAGCCACCGGCAAATAAATTGCGGGCAGTCATGGGACCAGCGTCAACACAAATGCCTCCAAGCTTCGATTCCTTGCTTTCCATGCAATAGTACTGGTCAGTACTACCGCAAGCTAAAATTCCGATATCAGCATCTACGCCTGCGGTTGGATCACATTCAACACTTTCGGTCCTATTGGCGTTGTTCTTTAGGACACGAGACTTATGATTCCCAAGCGCCTTGCTCCAGGCTTCACCGAATCGTGGCGGAATGCGGAGTGTCTCGAGCTGCCTTCGGACCGGGATGTTCGAATTTGAAAGCAAACCCCAATCCGAGACGAGCTTATCATTGTTGCCGGTAACAGTTGGCAATGCGTTTGTCAGAACAGCCAAAGCGGCGAGACTAACTCTCATGATGATGCTTTGGAGGGGTGAAAGGGGGCTAGTTTCGTGGCACGAAACAATGATTTGTGGCTTGGACGATCAAATGGCGCCCCCGCATCATAATCCAGTCCGTCAAGCAGAGCAGCTTATCATCGTGGATACTCAAACACTCCATTAGTTATTGTTGCCTAGCATTTTCATACTGCGTGGTAATCGCAACATGTGGCTAGACTGTTAGACCGTTGCTGAGGAACTTTCTGCTGATGATTCGTGGCAACTCCGTCGAGGTGCAGCGGAGACTTTGAGGATGCTGACTGAACTATTTTAGTCATCGTGGAAGGTCGGAGTTGTGTCTGCACGATTAAAAACATCATGCGACTGAAACTTGTGATGTACTTGTACTCAACTTACTTTAATTAAAATTAGGCATGAAATGTACATCGCCACGGTCAATCAACAGCTCTTCTTCTCATCGTTATCTTGTGCCATTTGCCTTCTGACGTCTTTCCAATTCGTAAATCGCTTTGGTCCACGGACGAGCCCTTTGCCATTGATTGACATGAAAGAATTCGGCTTTCCATCAATCTCCACACCAAATTGGTCCAATGGTTCCAACTTCCAACTGTTTGTGGAAGAAAGCACAAGAGAAGCAAAAACTGTCAGAACCTGATTCGTGGTCTAGAGTAGCAACGATAATAATAAAAGCACTCACTCTACGTACTCTTCAGGATTTGGTTTCATCATTTCTTCATACCCAAACTTGATCATTGTATCGGTAATGCCTCGATTCAATTCGTTCAACAGCTCCGTTGAGTACATGCCAGTACTGAGAGACTTTCCAATACCTCCTGATCTCGGTCGATAGGATCCCAAATTTTCAATCTGCTCCTCTCGGATGCACCGGCTGATGCGGTCTTCAAAGAACCCCATATTTTGGACTTCTAGTGTAAAACGAATCACTTTTGCAATCACCTTATCCGTATGACGAATCAAGTCTTCGTATCGAATGACTAGCAGTGGAATCTGCTGTGCTAACCAGTACTCGTGGAAGTCCCTCCAGACCTGAATTTCCTTCCTTGCCATTTCTGCAAAGACTGCAGCATTACGTTTCCGTTGCTCCTCCGTCAGACTAGTAGTATGAGTATTAGTCATCATCAGATTGAAGTAAGATTCCATGGCATCGTATGGATTCCGCACAAGGAGGACTGCACGATTCACCAAAAAGGGTGGCTATGGAACAATAATGCGAGACAGTCAAAAGGTGAGGGTATATGATGGAAAATGAATTTCTTCTTTTTCATTTCCTTGAGAAGATTGACTTACCGATCCACGGCGTTCTGGATAATGCGTCTTGACAAACTGGACAGCATTGCTTTCTGTTGCGGCTTCTCCCACCAAATCATGTTTGGTCAAGCCACCTCTCATGTCACTGCCAGTCACTCGCAAAGTCGTTCGTTCGTACAACGTTCGCAACAAGCTATTCCCGCTACGAGGATAAGACGCCAGCACTGCCACGGCTCGGGGACAGGGAGAAAAGAGCAGCAGTTCCAGCTGGGATGGAAATGAAACGGCAACGTTGGTACCCTTGTTATTGTTGTCTTCGGCATCCTCCTCTGCCTCTTCTTTTTGTTCCTGTGCCAGTTTCTTCTTGTAGTCGACCATGAGACCTTGCCATTCCGCAATAGCAATCTGTTCAGTCGTCTTGTTCTTGGCATAGACATGCTGGTTATACACCTTTGCGTCATCATCACAAGCAGTGCATTGTTGTTGACCAAGGTATCGTATTCGTTTTGCCAACCGTCTTGTATTTAGTCGCGCTAGCAGGGTATGCGGATCTTGTGGAATGGTTATTGTTTTGATCTTTGTCAGTTCTTGGTCTCCATTTGCCGTTGTTGTTTTTGTTTTTGTTTTTGGTGTTGATTGGTCACCACCATCTTCTGACACTTGTGATGGTTTGACCGTGGGAAGCTTGGCATTTTGAAAGCGCGGATACGCTTTCCCCAGCTGCAACCTGTCCGTTTCGTCCAGGTAGAAAAACAACAGTCGAAACGCCAACTGTCTATTCAAGAAATTGAGATAGTTGTTGGGTTGGCGAGGCTGATTCTTCTTGTCATTATTTCTACTGACAGGTTGCTGTTCGGAAGCTGATGATGATCGATGATTGGAATTGTTGTTTCGATTGTTTTTGTGGTTTCGACCACCATTCTTGGCTTTTGATTTCTTTCGTCCCATCGTTTTTCTTATTGTGTCGTCTATAATAGCAAAGCAAGCAAATGAGTCTTCCTCCCACGGTGAGTAAATTGCCGTAACGTGTTCAAACTTCGTTGTTGTTGGGTTCATTGACATTGTTTCAAATTTCGAAAAGTGGTCCGGTGAATCAAACCTCTGCACAGCAAAGATTGGGTGACATGTGTATGTACCGTACGTTTGGAATTTAACAAAAGTAGAATCGGCAAGTACAAAGGATCTATGAGAAAATCGACTTTTCCAATAATTCTTCTTCCACGCCGCAATAAATATTATTGTCTGTGGCGTGGGCTATTCAGTTTTTAGACTATTGCTATATCTCAGGAGGAGATACCAAATCTAAGGTCGAAGGTTACCGTTTGCCTAAGTAATTTATATTATCTTCATGACCGTATGCTCGGCGCGCGCGCTATTTTTCCGCCCTCAATTTCTTTCCCGTACATTGTACATACACAAGATATTAAGTACCAAGTCTACGTGAAATACCAATTTCCAGGCTCCGAGTCAAAATTGCAAATTCTCCGGAGCCACCGTCCACACCAAGATGACTGCCATAACAAGGCAATATACATATAGTCCAGATGCCAAAGAAGGCCAGGTCCAAGAACTTAGCAAGGAGGAGGAAATGTTCCGGATCAAAAGAAGGTGGTGAACCAGCAAAAAAGAAGAAAAAAGAACCAGGTGTCCTGAGACCACCACAAGAAACGAATCCAACCATCCATGAACAACCGCCGCTCGAAGAGCCAAGTGACCTAGCGACAACAGCAGTACAGGATGATGGTGCGCCTGTCAATGAATTGGAATTTGAGGATGTTGTCTTGGGAGATATTCCTCCAAAGGGTCTACTTGATAATCCCAATATCAGGTGTAAGCAAATCGAATCCAAGAGGATCTGCATCGAATATATTTTCATCAATGTTCATCACGCTCCTCCAAGGGAGAAATGGTCTGGCAAAAACGGAGTTTCTGCTCAAATCAAGAAAGCCCTAGCAATTCCTGAAGGGAAGGCCGGAGGGAAAAGGGATCTGGATTTAGGAAATGTTTGGTTCTGCATCATGATGCCAAACCAGCAGCAAAGATCAAGATTGAAGAAGCAAGCAAGACTTGTGAGCAACAGAGGCTCCCAGTAGTAGATAGTGAAACTCAGGTGCCAATTCAACACAATTGATAGTAATAGCTCTACTAGTTATAGAAGCATTAGTGGTTAGTAAGATTTTAACTGCCTTTGGTACCATGGTGAGCCATAGCTTTTCTCAAAATTGAAAAAAACGATGAAGCAAGAATCCGGATTGGTCTGTCTGTTGTCAGTAAAATGTGAGCGAAAAATATCGAATTTTTTATTCAAATCGTTGATGCGACACATTTGGCACGTGCGCAACTCTAAGTAATCCAACTCACGGACAAAATTTCAGATGCAAATTGCAGTGTTTTACCGCGGTTTTTGCTGATTCCTGATGGTTCCAATGAAATCTACGTGAAAAACTGGTCTAGACTATATATCCAAGTATTTTTCTTACATGGTTTTACGATTTTTTGTTTCCCCAACTTTCATTAAATTCCAAATGGACGGTAGATACTGCCAAATTAGATCAGTGGAGCAAACCGGGGTAGATCCGCCTACAAGTATGGATAATCTGACCATACCTAGAGCACCGACCACTCCCAACTAAAGAATGTCGATTATTCGAGCAATTTCTGATACTACAGTAGCAGCATTGGAATGACAGGTGCTGAGGTCGTTTATGAGAGGGGAAATTTCAAAAACTTGTTTCTAGTTGTTGTAATAAGAGTTTGTTTTGTTTGTGTGCTTGTTTTGCTTCAGCCAATTGCCCAAGTGTGGCAATATCACTAAAACTGAAAATAAAAGTTTACTCATCCAATGGAACCTTGGCAGATTCTCCAAACAGCAAGGTATCGGGCATAAGTGGCATACCCAGCATAAGAGTAAAGGAATAGATCAAGGTGATGACCAATCCAAGTGCTGTCCACAATACAACGTTGAAATATTGGATTTGGAACATGGTCTTGTAGGTAGTTATCAATTCACCATAGGCATTGTAGTATTTGTAGCCATAGTAACCATTGTTTTCATCTCCGTCATCTTCTTGAAGACGACGGTGGCTAGTGAATTCATTAGCATCATGTTCATCTTCAGTAATATCTTCCACCATCAAGTGAAGAACGACCTTGTTTCCATTCTCTTTGCATGACTTCTTCATGTCCTTGATCATTCCCGAGACTTGGGCATCCACATCCGCAGCTTGTTCCTTATCAGCAACTTGGAATGAAACTCCGGAAATACCAGATTCCTTGGCCTTGGATTCAACACTAAGCTTTAGTGAAGAAATATCCTCGACATTGTCCACATTTTTGACTCCATTCAAGATCGATTTGGATTTCTTTCCGTGGCATTTCAAGTGTCCTACAGTTTCATCCTCATTCGACATCATGGCATTCAATTCGGGCATATTCTCCAAATCAGCACCAGAAATACTGACAACTACACTACTCTCTGGCTTATTGAAGAGATCAGGAACGACTGCCATTCCAGATTCTTGCAATTTACGTCCGCCGTGAAGCGCTTGGAAAAAGGAAGTGACTCCCGCAGCCGACGTTTCCGGGTGTCCTGCATTGGCACGGTGAACGGTTCCAGTAGGTCCCAATTCAATGACGGCAACCTTGGTGGCAGCATCCACAGAAGACGCCAATGCTAGTGCCGCAGTCCATACTAGTAACGATCGAGTCATCATGTTGTCTGTGTAGTGTGTCTGTTAGTGCTAGTAGTGCTGTTTGTTGTTCCCAACGTCCTTCGTCCTTCCCTCTGCTCAACGGGAATTGAAATCCAATCTGGAGCCGTGCTCCGGCCGATCGATGGCTACTGGATGCTACCAGATTTCGTCGTAGAGCATTTCGTTGGCCGACGTGAAATAAATATACCCTTTACCTACGTTGATGAATAGTGATAAAGATTTGGCGTGCGTAAAAAAGACAGATGTAGTGCTTTATCAGAAGATTCATTCATCTGCTTTGGCGAGTTGGAATGAATCTGGTGGAATGTCCCCCGGCGGAGGAAATCTGGTGGAAAATCTGGTGGAACCCTTTTCATTGGCCATGGTGGCGAAGAAGTATCTTCCCAGAAAGGTCATGGCTTCGGGAAGGTATCTAAAGTGAGGACAGAGACAGCATCCAAATGTACACAAAGCAGGTCTAATGAACGATATGCGAAGTGGTGGTGGTGATGTTTGACAAAGAAGAGTGATCTTCATCGGAGGAAAACCAATAATTTTTGAATACCATAACAAATAATCATCTATTGTACAATTTACTCGGCTTCCCCTTCTGAAACTCGTGTCAAGCGCCTTTGATATTCCCCTGAGAAGCTGTCGTTGACACATGGTTTTTAATGCATTGTCCAATTTCAGGATTCATCAATTTTAATCGTTCGGTCATTTTCATATCATAGCTGGTGCTTGTTCGAATGAATCTCGTCATCGTTTTGGAATGAACCAAATTCACAATGACAGACTCCGCTGACTCAACCGGGATTTAGAGCTTGAATGGCTTGGGCATATCAATCTTCTTAAAATGTTGATCAAAGACACTCTTTTCTGGAGTGGAAGATGGGGATGATGCGCCCTGTTCACGTAGTGACAAGAGAGAAGAATAGGTGAGATTGTGTTTCAACAGAAAAAAAGATACGAAACGTATGGAACAGCCAATAAGAGCCAACAATTCCTATATCCAACAGCATGCTAATATTGTTGGATACAAGTGCATCGAATGCAGCACAATTGATCGAGCTCCTCGATGACTGACTCCTTCTGGCGATGAATGAATCTTCGTCGTTATTTCACGACCACGAAAACCGAAAGTAAACAAACTTACACTCTGTTTCGTCAACGCACTCCTTAGTTCCATACTGGTTCCAGCCATCATGAGTTCATCTTCAGCAGAAAGTCTTTGAAAGTCTTGTTTCTCCATGGTGTATTTGTTGTTGTATTGAGGGATGGTTAGTTGATCGTGTATGTTGCTTGTTGTACGAACGTGAGAACGTGAGAATGTGGAAGCTTTTGAGTTCCACCACTTCCAACTAGAACATGGAAGATGACGAAGGATGAACACGCACTAAAAACAGTTGGACTTATCTTCCATAAGTACCAGCCGAGCGTGCCTACACTGAGTGGGAGCTATTTTTGGCAGTTGGCCGTAAGTACTTCAGTAGGATCTCCGTAGAAAAGATCGATGACGTTTTGAAGCTTTCGTTGAAGTTTGAGGGACGATTGCGGGACAAGTTAAAAGAGATAATTGATTGGGGGAGTATTAATAATTCCGATTTGTACGATTGCAATCACAAAACTTCTGATCGAGAACGAAACGTGGACACGATCGATGAAGTAAATCTGGTAACCACAAAATAGAAGAAGTGCCGGAACCCTTGACCTTCTCAATAAAAGCAAGTGCTGCCCAAACCTGCACACAATTTAAAATAATTACAAAATACCACACACACCCAAAGAGCCAAAACAAGACAAGAAAGCAACGCAATCATGGTCCTCAAGCACCCACGACTACTTCTCTCTGAGGATGAAGCCAAGGCTGTAGTTCGCCCCCTTCTACGTTTCCTTTCCAAGAAGCATGATCAAGGCTTTTACGTTGGCGACATGGCCCCCGAAGATATCTATCTTGTACGGGGGCAATGCCTTATACGGGGCCGGCAATATTTTTGATGAGCGACGGGTACGAGCCGGAATCTTGAAAAAGATGCGTCGTATCCCCAAGAGTGGATTGGTGCTGGTAAGAGATGAAGATCTCAGCCACCTCCCACCCGAAATCTTTCAAGGATACGATGCTAAGAAACTGGACATGTGGGTCTTGGCAGTATTGCTATTTGAACTCCTAACGGGAGAAAAGCTCTACCGAATCCCAAGTCCATACGATCTATCCTTTCAGTACTTTATCTGGGCAGGAGGTTTGACCAACATCACTCCAAATGATGCCCAGCATTTGCTTCAGCAGCCAATGTTGCGAGAAGTGGCCTTTCTCGAAGAGAACTACGTTCGTAAAATGAGTCCCGAGCTCAAGGAACTCTTTGAGAATACACTTTGCGTTGAAGCTTCGGAGCGTTGGGGAGTGGATCAAGTGTTGGACTCGGAATGGCTCAATACACACAGCCAGAATGATTGAATAGGATTATACACAAGTAAGAAGTATTAAATCTTTAAAATTTTCATTCCATAAGCATATATACAGTGTGGTCAATCCCATTCCTCTTTTTAGCACACTCGAATGTTGTATTTCTGTTTGGCCATGGATCGGAACTGTTGGAATTGCATTTCATCGTCACTCAGTTGACCGACTTGGTCCTCGCCTTCCTTCGAGTCGATCGAACTTGACTCCGTCGTTGGATTATCTATCAATGACAAAATATCCTGACCGCGACTGTCAATCAACTCTATTGGAACAGTCGGGGCAATATATCTCATTCCAAGCTTCTTCTGGACTTCATGGCAGTACGTAACAAGATTCGCTTTGGAATCTAGGACTTGACCACAATTCTGCCAGGACTCACGGTGTACAACCGATATCATGATCTCCATGTAGCCCTTCTCTGCAAAAATTGACCTCACTCTGAAACCATGCAGGGCTAGCCATTCACGTGGCCTTACTTTCATGTATTCTTCTACAGCTCGTTTGAAAATCTCAATTGTCTCATATTTTGTGGAAATGGGAAAGTTAAGAGCGATATTGAATTTGGCATTCGGGCTGCGAGCCCAATTGATGATCCTGCTGTTGCTCAGCGATGCGTTCGAAAAGTTGGCGTGTTCCAGGGTTGGCACCCATGTTGCTAACGTATGCGTTAGGGTGACATTGCGAACAATCCACCCTATTGAGCCATCAGCAGATGTATCACGCTGGACATCGCTGATGTGAATGATGTCACCAATTCCATACGGACGTCGAACGAGAATGAACAGTAGTCCCTCGAAATACTTTGAACTCGCTGAACTGATCATGAACGCGAAAGCAAAAATGATACTGCTGAAGGAAAGGAAGAGAGCGAGTGGATCACTGAGAAAAAAAGAGGGATGAGTAAAGTGGGATTCCAATTTCTCTTAATACGATGTGTTCCATTCACTTACACCCCAACTTGCGAAAGAATGATTGTGATCGAAGCGCCATAGAAGGCAATGTTGAAAATGCTTTCAAACGTTTGGTCTATTTGAGATGAGTTCTGAATCGAAGCCTGTAGTAATCGAAATTCTTTGTAGATGGAATCGACACTCTTGATAAAATCGATGAGAGTGAGATTGCCTTCCCGATCCGGTCGAAAAACACGGATGGCTTCCTTAGCCTTTCGTTCGTCAATCGAGCCGTCAGGTCGTGTTGCAATCTCTGCAATGGTTTCAAATTGCACAACGTCCGAAAGAGTAGTTGCAGTTAAAAGGCCCATGTACACCTGTTGCGCAGAACGGATAGTGGCATCCCTTGTGTCTGCCAAACCAAATGCGAATGCAAATGGATAGTCGTCCTGGATGAATGTAAGTGCCTTTCTGAATCGGAGTACTTCTGCTATCGAAGATGTGGTTGATTGAGTTGATTCTCGCCTGGGCTCTTCCCATTGTTCCAAGAGACCCATCAATTTCTGCTTTTCCAAGTTATCAAGCCGACCAGTCAATGGATCCGTTTTGTTCATATCTAGCGTCCTTTCAGAAGCACCATTGCTGAAATCGTCTGTATCAGAGTCATTGGGTCGAAAAGCGGCAAACTTGTCGGCATATTTCGCTCGCATGCTCCTAAAGAATGGCGCAAAAAGTGAGAAAGGAAACTCTGTTGAAAGTAAATAATCGAAATTTCAGAACCCACTCTGTTGGATTCGCCGGTCTTAATGCCGCAGCCTTCTCTAACTTCTTTGCCAGGTAGCCAACTTTGCTGACGACTAGCATTTTCTGCATTACTGTTGCGAGCTTGGGGCCATAGTGACCTATCAAACCAAGGTAAGGACGTTGAAAAACTACTGGCTCTCGAATGAACTGCCATCAACTTACCGAACGTTTGGCGCCCAAGGTAGAGGCCGACAATGAATCTTTTTAGCGTAGTTGCGATGGAGAGAAAGAGAGCAATAAAGAGCACCTTTCCGTTCCAGACACTCTGAACGACGTCACCGCTCGGATTTGATTCATTCACTAGTCCAATCGACAAAAAGAATCCCCAATGTTTTGAAAAAGGCCGGTTGCCGTACAGCATTGCAAAGTTGTATAAACTCCACATGAATGTCACAAACGGCCATCCTTTCGACATTATTAACAACAACGTCAAATATTGTCCCATCAGCCGAAGCAGAAACTTCGTGCTGACGCACAGAAAATCGATAATGATTACTTGAGACGCTAGTGCAAGTGACAGAGTGATGACTTGCCGTGCACAAAATAGAAGATACCACGATACCGAAGCTTGCCCCTCCATTGCAACCGGGTTCCCCGCAAAATAATACAGTATCGCCGCGATTGCGGTCAAGACAAGCAGTAAGATACTGACGTTCTTTACATACGTCCGCATCGAACTCATTCTTGTGCGGATGAAAGTCTTCCATATTACTTCATTCTCTTCCACAATATCCTTTGCTCCCTGAAGAACCCTTTTAGTACGATGACTCTTTTTATTCGAATGAAACCGAGAAAATCTAGGTCGTGGCAATTGTGGGTCGCTGTTGCTGTGGTGGCTATCCTCGTTTACTTCAGTAAGGACTTCGAGTCCCGCTTCAAGCGAGTTTAGTCTATCTCTTGTTCGAGTGCTGTGATTCGACTGACTACCGGTAGGGCTAGAAACAACACCGTCACGAAGCGACGCCTCGTCGTCTGCGGTTTGTGTGTAATCTTCTTCCTGCAACGTCTGCATCGCAAGTGTCAAGCCCACAAGCTGATCTGCCACGCTTTTAATTCGCTGATGGCTGCGAACAAGAGGAATCCGTTGCGATCGTTCAAGATCATCGTCTGTCGAGTGTGTTTTCTCTTCCTCGTCGGTCTTTTTCGAGTCACTGGTGTTCTCGTCATCTATTGAAAAGTCATGCGCTAAGTATTCAGGCACTCCTGACATTACCGATGATGACATTTCAGATGTCATTCTCTGATGTGCTGGTTGTGTGTGTTGATGCTCCTCAAAAGCTCTTAGGATATTAGTTTCAGCTTCTAACTCATATGGCCCTGACGAGAGCAGATCATCAATAGTCAAAGTACGTTCCGATTGCAAAGCACGCTCCGATTGCAGTTTTTGCTGCTGCCATAAGTCGCGTGGATTTACATCAACTCCTGACAGGTCAACCCCCGGCAGGCCAACCCCCGGTAGGTCAACTCCCGGAAGGTCAACTCCCGGAAGGTCAACTCCTGGAAGGTTGGTACTTGTTGGTGGAGGAACAGGTGAGCGCGATGATGAATCGTCTGATCTGTTCCGTGGGCCATCAAAGCCTGGTTTAGGCAGTGAACGTCGGTCGAATGAAACTGTTCGTCCACGAGTTGCAATTGCTTGCGGTTTGTTGGGTCCCTTTAGAAGTGATGATCGTCGGGGAGCTGGACTCTGAATGGAGTTGTCATTGCCCTGAAAAGGATCAGGGGGGTGTCTTGCCCCAGGTGGACTGACACTTTTATGCGCAGTTGTTGGCGTTGTCTCTTCCTGTGGGCGTTGGAACAGTGCCAACAGATCAGAACCAGAGTTACTCATGTTGGTTTTGTTTGTTGCACGAACTGTTTCAGCGTTTTGTTCCTGAAACGTAATTTCTTCTTCGGCGTCGTTCGTTGCTTTAAAGCCAGGATCTGAATTCCGTAATGAGTCCAAGAACGAATTCCTATCTGATGGTGCTTCATCGTCCTCGCTTAGATCCATTTTATTCTGAGGCATGGATTGATGATGCCAAACGATACTGTAGGGCCAGAGGGACGTTTGCACTACGATATCTTCTCTTTTTTGATGTGTCTGAACAAGAAATTCTCTAAATTTTTAGGAAGATGATGAGCCTCGCGCCTCGCGTGTGGAAGGAAGGACCATCAGGGTAACAAACTCAAAACAAAGAAACCCATGAAGCGCTGCAGTGTAAATAGTAATAAAACTTGGAGCTATGTTATATATTACACTGAAAGAGACACCGGCCTCTGACTAGGTCATATATAATGAGAGGATCCAATCATTCGCCAATGACCAAACCTTGTAGCAAGGCAATGATAACGAGTGTCACGCTGAAATAGCAGAGTACATTGATGCCCACAAGGAAGATTTTGAATGCTAACATGTTCTTGCGCCCAATCCCAGTTCCTGTCCATGGCTATGGCAATACGAGAGAGAGAGAGAGAGAAAGCATGCAGTAAAATGGGTGAGAAATGCCGGGCCAATGCAGTCAGCAGTCAACCCTTGGACATTTTCTAAATACATACACATCTGAAGGAAGATGAGATAATGTTAGTAAAAGAACCCATGAATGTAACATGCAAAGAGACACTGAATGATGCTTACAAGTGATCATAGTCTTGTATCAGAACCTGAAAAGAGAAGGCAACAGATTTAGTACATTGCTTGGCCCAATAAATGTGCATTCCATTGCATCCAACTCTTTCCTTACACCACATTCTCTACAATATAGAGCACCCGGTGGCCGATAACTCCCAACTTGTTCGTTCCAGAACCACCCCCCTTCCCCTGCTTCTTCATCCGTGACGCGTTCCATCAATCCGGGATCGGTACAACTGACACAGAATAGAGCCGCCAACACACATCCAAGAACCGGAAAGTATATGTACGAGACCCACAGCGGCTACGCAACAGGACACAACACAACTTGTGAGCTCCATTGTCGCCAAGACATTGTTACATGCACACTTTTTCCATCAACATTCAATCAGTCAACCTACAAGAGCCGAATTCTCCCGAATAATGAGCCAATAGGAAACTGATCCGCAAGCCCCCAGTATCATGGGAACCGTGACAAAACAGCAAAATGGCCAACATGGACCAGCAATGACTATCGGTGACCCATCCGGTCGTTTGCAAAAGACAAACATATTTCCCAGTCGCTCGGCGCAGCAGCAAAAGAACCGATGAAAGTCCTTGATGGTTCCACCGTTGGCTGCAGCTTCTGACTCCCATTTGGTGGACACTGCGAATCTAAAGTATATCGAGATTGGAAAGCGTGTGAGTTAGCCCATTTTTCAGACTATTCCCGTAGCTACAAATCATAAATATAGGAGATTGTCAATCTCTTGCGCGCACTCACTGTTTCCTACGGCTAGAACTTGGAGGAGCTTGAGGGTTGCGCCGTGGACTTTTTGGAGGGGAGGATGCCGCCGAAGGCGCCTCTTCTATAATCTCCATTGTTTCAATTCCTTTTTCAAAAGCAATGAAGGGTCCGGTATGTTGCCTTCCAAAATCACTTGTTGTAGTAGTGTGTACCGTCCAAGTTGACAACAAGAACAACAACAAAAGTTATCTTGGTTCATGTGTTCGATCATGTTGTGGAGTCGAACAAATCAATCAATGGAATGAATCAATCGAACTCGGAACTTTCAAAATTTGTTGTCGTTGCTGCAAACATTCTCGGACAATTGATCATGTTCGTTTCGGGGAATAGTCTCGGACAGTATGAAGCTGAAATTTGGATGGTCCATCTTTTTCTTCGCTCACCAAGCTGGACTATTAAATGATGACTGTCATCCTCGAGAAGAAATCGCGGTTGAATCATCACAAGAGCACCGGTTTTCGACGTCTTTTGTGCAGTTCCAAATTCAATAAACAATCCGAATTGCACATAAATACCGCTATATATGAAATACGACGCGTGCAAAGTGAATCGTGAAGATTCGTGGACCCAAATGATGGAATCTTCGACCCCGAATTTGGAGAAAATTCAATCCCAAGTGCAGTGAAAGTACTAACGTCTGTACGTACGCGAATCAACTCCTATTTTTCTGCAAGCGACGAGGCAAGCGTTTTATCACACACCTCTCCGCTCACGGGATGTAAGCCGAAGGAAATAATTTGCCTTCGAAACAAAAACAGATAACCAAAGTGGTACATCAATGAAATTTTGCAAGAACTTGCAGCGAGTTGTTGATATATCGGACCCGGAATGGGCTCCGTATTGGCCAAATTACAAAATGCTGAAGGTACGATACGATGAATGAGTTGACACCCATTTGGGAAATAGATTGCTATGAGATTCGCACGTCAAAGAATGCTTTCTCACCTTTTCTATTGCCATTGCCACTGAATCTGATGCTATCATTTAGAAATTGATAAAAGAGCTGCCTTCGTTGGTGCCTGCAGAGGACGCAAAACCAACTCCAGAGCCACCGAAAAATAATACTGGAAGTTCTCAAAAACCACAAAATAATCCTAATGCTTCCGCCATTGGAAAGAGCCCAGGAGAAGTCGCATTTTTCAAGCTGCTGCACTCTGAATTTAAGAAAGTAACCATGTTTTTCGAACGGGCGAGTGAGGAATACAAAATTCGTGAAGAGCGAGTTCAAGAAGGAATGGCTATCTCAAAGCAAGCCAACTCAATCATGGTCAATGAGAAATGGAGTTTGATGGCGAAAAGCATACATAGGCTGTATAAGGACCTTCTCCTTCTTGAAACCTTTGCAATTATGACATACTGCAGTTTTTCAAAGATCCTAAAGAAACATGACAAAGTTACAGGATATGAAACGAGAAGTGCATTTATGGAGAATGTGGTCAACAAGGCAAACTTTACACATTACCCTCATTTGTTGGAAATGATTTCGCGGTCCGAACGCATGCATGAACAAGTGTCGCAAATTCTATTGAGGGAAGGAAAGGAGGGTCTGTACGAAGACGAGCGACTCTTTATCAATATGATTAACAGACTCAATGAACAAGTGCTGAATGGTGAAGACAGCAACAGCAATGCAATCCGAAAAGACACCACAAGGCGGCTATCCCTGACGCCGCTGGCCAACAAGAAGGAATCAAGTGAAGCCTCCACTACGGCAGCCGCTACATCAACCTTGCGAGCTGTTTTGGAGGATACCCAAAACGCCAACAATGCCAAGATAGAAGCATCCGATGATGGCGGAAGTCATCATCATCACGACAACAAGCGACCTGCAGCCACAAATATTCCAATTGCCCCAGACGCCAAACGCAGGGCGGTATAGGCGCAACTTTGGCGCAACTTTTTTCTCTTCCGTCCGATGCACGGGAAATTCGTACATTCTCGATTGATGGATGGATGGATGGATTTGTGCATTGGGCGTGTACACTAGTCATAGTCTAGTTTAGAATTAGTTCTAGCATTTTATAAGCTTTGCATACATATGTATATTCATTGTTGTACTACTTGCATTCGTAAGAGGGATGGATCGGATCGTAAAAGGTCATATATCGTTGTCAAGTGATGATCCATCATCTCTCTACTATTAGCTTGTTTGCCCTCTGGTGCATCACCATAATTGCAATGATTGGTGGCTGCCACTGCCGCCAGAGCAAATGGATACAAACCAGCAGATGGATCCCTTTCGGAGAGTGCGAATGGATTAATTCTGATCAGTGCCTCCAAACCTTCCTTCCAACCAATTCCCGCTTCCAAGGCATAGTGCAAATGGAACTTACCATTCGAATTTGGCACTGGGTGCTTGGCTTGCTCCGGATTGGCGTTCAACAGAAATCCAATCTTGGTATGAACGTCAATGGATCGATTGGCCTCTGGATTCTGACAGGCGATTGTCAATGGAGTATGCCCATTTTCATCTTCTATCAATAATTGATCCTCATATACTTGCACCAGAAACGGAAACAAACCCGTGGGTGTAACCTTTTGAGCAGCAATGTGCAAGGGGTAGAACTCCTGACTACCCTGTGCCTGACTGACGGCTTGCAAGACGCACATGAGTCGCTTCCAGGCATTGTTCGATGCCAATACCTCTGGGCGATACCGAAAGATTTCCATGCTTGGTTTGTAATGTCGTTCCCACATCATGGCCAATGGCGTGGACTTGGTATAATCCACTACAAACGCCGTGTCCGGATCCGTTTTCAGCAAAATACTCAAGACTGGATTTTGCGAGGACAATCGCACGGCCCAGTGGAGCGGAACTTCCCCATCTTTGTTGGGGACTGACGCAAGTTCGGGTGCCGCCCATAAGATGCATTCAATCACCAACAAGGGGGATTGAAACAAGCATGCATGATGCAGCAAGGTTTGTCCTTTCGAGTCCCGCAATTTTCCCACTTGGTCCGAATGGAATGTGATCCAACCTAAAAGTTGACTCCATTGGCGCTTGGCAATAGGTTCCAAATGTTGGTTGGTCAATTGATATTGTATGTCGGTACCCTTGGTGGTTAGGTGATTATGACTGTTGTCAAAGACGACCAAGAAGAATTTCCATATGGATTCGAATTGTGGGGCAAATACAATGGCAGTAGCAGCAACCAAGGCTACTGATAGTATTAGATTCTCAATGATATTATCAGATATCAGAGAGGCTGTGGATGGTCGGCACATAACTATTGTTTCTTGATGGGTACCAGTACCAGTAGCTACTCCAAAGATTGAGAGATGATCGTTGTCTTGCACAAGATACGAAGAAGAATCCTACAAAAACATCAGGCCACAATCACGAATGAAGCAATCGCAAATCTGGCACGCCTCAACCGGAGTCTGTCCTTCTCACAGGTACATGTACCGTATGTGATGATGTAACAACTACAGTAAGATACGCTGCTACCCAGGGGGAGGTACCGGTATGGTACCGGCCCAGCTGTACCGGTAGTACAAGACTGGTTTTGCTCCAGAACAGAATATTGGATTTACGAAAATGTAGTCCTTTGCGGCAAAGCTACAGTACAGTGTAGTTTTGCGCCCCAGCAAAACGACGACGAATGGAGCCACCAGGCTTCAGTGACAACACACCCTTGGTGACAATAGGTCGCTGTATTTTTTATTAGAGTCTTGTTTTCCCAATGATGGTTTCCAATTTTGCTTTATCCACATTCAAGTTGTCTCTTTACATCATATTGATGGTATTATAATTTTTTTAAACCTGTGATATATGTGTGTCTTGGGTGTTGGAATTTCCGTTCGGAAGACGAGTAACTATGTCCGTTTCTATTAGCTGAACGGATTTTGCCATTTTGATACTTAGGGAAAACTCGACCATTTTTAGACGGGGGGTTATGATTGGACGGAAGGTTGCTTGGGGTTCGTGTTTACGCGGTGTTCTTTGGTTGTCACCTCCAGCGCTGCTTGGATTTGGAAGTGAAAGAGAGTGGCAGTGCGGGCGGTTCCCCATGTAAAAAATCAGAACACCAAGAGTTGACATCACGACCAATTGATACTAAAAGCGACTGCGTACACTCTCTCATCATATAATAAACAAACAGACAAACGCAAATAGCTATTCACCATGTCCGATGTGGAATACTACAAGAAGATGATGCGTCAAGGCGACACCACCGATTACACCAGTGGCGAGTTCTTGGGAGAGCAAGGAGCTTCGCATCGAACCAAATCACCGTCGTCTATGAGCAAAAAATGGACCAAGACCAAGGAACACGTCAACACCGATTGGTTGGGCGCTTCTCCTGGCAAAGCTCGCAAGAGTTATACTGTCAAGGCCATTGTCAAGCCTTCTGTTCATGTTTCAGATGACGAAGAAGAAGAAGAGACCAAGGTAGAAGCTGCGCCAACGCCAGCGCCAGTCCCAAAGGAAGAAGACAAACCAGCTGAGGAAGCTGCATCACCGCCCTCGCCGACACCTGCTGTTGCCGAGGCAAAGAAGGAAGAAGAAGAAGAAGTAGATCCTGCCGTAGCCAAGTACAAGGCCATGCTTCGTGCGGGTGATTCGTCTACTGACTATTCGACCAATGAATTCTTGGGCGATCAAGCCCAATCTCATCGCACATCGACGACCAAAAAGAAGTGGGGCAAGCCCATAGAAAGATCGAACGATGACTGGTTAAGTGCTTCCCCTGGCAAGGCTCGCAAGAGCTATACTGTCAAGGCGGTCAAAAAAGCTGTCCACCATGACAGCGAGGACGAAAAGGAAAAGGAGACCGAACCCGTGCAATCATCACCCGTAAAGACTACTACTGCGCCAGTGACAGAACCAGAACCAGAAAAAGAAGAAGACAAAGCACCGTCGTCGCCTGTCAAAGCGGCACCCGAGGAGGTGGATCCTGCGATTGCCAAATATAAGGCGATGCTTCGTGCTGGTGATTCGTCTACAGACTATTCGACCAACGAATTCTTGGGCGATCAAGCCCAATCCCATCGAACCTCAAAATCACCCAAGAAGTGGGGGAAGCCCATTGAACGCTCTAACGATGACTGGTTGGGTCCTTCTCCTGGCTCGCGAAAGAGCTATACCATCAAAAAGGTCCACCATGTCCCACCTCCAGACGTTCATTATACTGACGAAGAGGAAGAAGAAAAGCCAAAGAAGGAAGAATCACCAAAGAAGGAGGAACCTGCTGCTGAACCTGCTCCAAAGGAGGATGATGTCTCATCTCCTGTCGCGGAACAAGAGAGCGCAGCAGAACCCACTCCACAGCCAGACGAAAAGAAGGAAGAAGTTGATCCTTCCATTGCCAAGTACAAGGCCATGCTTCGTGCTGGTGATTCGTCTACTGACTATTCGACCAACGAATTCTTGGGCGATCAAGCCCAATCCCACCGAACCTCAAAGTCACCCAAGAAGTGGGGCAAGCCCATTGAACGCTCTAACGATGACTGGTTGGGTCCTTCTCCTGGCTCGCGAAAGAGCTATACCATCAAGTCGAAAAGCACCCCCAAACCAACTCATAATGACGATGATAACGACGAGCCCAAGCAAGTATCTCCCGCCAAGCATGTCTCTGACATCAAGCCACCCCAATTGCACGACGAGGATGAGGAACCTGCCAAAGAACCAGAAGTGGTGGATCCTTCCATTGCCAAGTACAAGGCTATGATGCACCGTGACGAGGGAAACGACTATGCTACCAATGAATTCTTGGGAGAGCAGGGCCAAGCGCACAGAGCTGCAAAGTCACCCAAAAAGAAACATGCGGGCAAGCCCATCGAAAAGTCCAACGATCATTGGATGGGATCAGGTGGCACTGCGCGCAAGAGCTACACCATCAAGGGGAGCAGTACTTCCTCCAGCAAACCTCCATTCTCTCCGGCAAGTCCAGTCACTACTACAAAAACCCGAGCTAGTTTCTCATCCATGGCTTCTCCTACGATTGCATCTCAAAGAATGACTCCCTCATTTGACCATGCAAGCCCAGTGTCGGCCAAGGAGCGAATGGGCACCCGTGCCAGTTTCTCGCATGCCATGACCTCGATGCAGTCTCCCAAGGTGACCTCTCCAAGAGGCTCCCTTACTCATGAGAGCCCAGTCTCAGAGAAGGAGCGAATGGCGGGCCGTGCGAGTTTCTCGAATGCCTTTGCCAAGTTCCGAAGCAGTGATACAACCGTACCAGCTGCCTTTGCCCATTCCATCGCCTCCCCCGTCAAGCGTAACTTTCATGTTCCCAAAGAGGCGGTAGAAAGAGAGAAAGAGGCTCATAGACATGACGACGAGCATCATGAACCCACCATTAAGGAAGGGGAAGAATTGGCAACGGCGGAGGGAGTCTCTGAAGTCCACGAAGATCACAAGGAAGAATTTGAGGAGGCACTGCAAATGTTGCAAAAGATCTTTAACCGATTGGACGATCGCGAGCCCAGTTGGAAGCAGATGGATGCCGTCATCAAGAAAATCCGCAAGGCCACCAATCAAGGTGCTGACATCAAGGCCATTTTGAGTTATTCTATTTCCTCTCTTCAGCATATCGCTGGTCTGCTCTACGACGAAGATCAAACTGATACCGATGATGTAGTTGAGAAATTGATTGATCTCAACATGCAAATCTAGGTAGTTGGTTGGACTTTTAAAATACGGGGGATATGTTCAAAGTGCAGAATATTTTTTCAAGTGACAGTGACGCATAATAATAATAATAATTAATGCATAATTTTATGTATGTTTGAAGCAGCTAACACTGTGTGGTAGCTTGGACAATGCTACTGCACTGATGAGAGTAAGGTTGCCGCCTCCTAATGCTTGATCTGTCCAGGTACTTTGTTTTCAAGGTCTCCCATGTGCTCTCTCTTGTAAACTTCGAATCTTTCTGGGGAGTTGTAAACTGCCATGCACTCATTCACTGCTCGTTCTACATGTATCGAATGCGCAACAGATGCGGATTAGTGACAAGATGGAAGTGTTTTTTCTTCGAACCGCATACTGCAAAAGAAAACGAACTTACTGAATTCATTGCATCGAAATACCACCATGACGCCTTCATCTTTTGCACATGAAGCAAAGGCACTTATTTGCATGTCGCATTTCTGCATAGCATCTGCCTTGAATTCTTTTCTCAATTGGTGCTCCGCAAAATCTAATATCAGCACGATTCATTCAATGAGTATTCAAGTAAGAAATTGAGGTTTGTTCTGCAATACGATGCATGCTCTTTCCAAAGCCAGCGTTGGCGGAAACTTACTGCGGAAGCTGAGCCGTCCGTCTCTTCCGAGGTCCTTCATATTACCAGCATCATTCTGAGATTGCGACATCGTGTTTGAGAAAGCAGAGTGTACTTTTCTTCCGTTGCTACAACACTATTATCGTGTTGTGAGTCTGCGTCATGTGTTCCAAGTCGTTCGCATTTGGTTGGAAGGAGTATCGGCTGACGTACGGACTTGGAGGGAAATTTCGATCGATCCGTTCGAATGATGACTGTTTTTCGACAGACAACTCGACCTATATACCGGTAGTATTGCTGAACTTTGCACTCGACGGTGATGAGCAGATCCAAGAATCATGTCAACATAGCAGTGATTGGAAGTGAAAGATCAGGTGCGTTCATTGAAATCGACTTTACTTTCATTTTCTTCTCAAGTGCGCTCCCGGAATTGGGACTACTACTACTTGTTGCATGTTATTTTACATTCTGACAGGCAATCATGTTTCTTCCTTGGCACAGGGAAATCTACATTATGCGGTCATCTATTATACCAATGTGGTACATTCGATCATCTTTCAATCGAAAGAAGCAAAGAGGAAGTCAAATCTGCCAAGAGCTCATCCATGAATGAGTTCTCGTATATTGTCAGCTCGAATCGTTCCAAAGAAGCCCCAAATGGAATGACCGTAGACAATGCCATTCACCAACTAGAAACACCGAATTCAGTATGCACGCTTATTGACACGCCAGGAAATTTGAAACATAGACAAACAGCGACAGCAGCTCTTGGACAAGCTGATGTAGCGATATTGGTCGTTGATTCTACGGCTGCTGATATTGAAGAGTGCACCACGACCACGGTGCCAGATGATTCGAAAGTCAGATTTGGATATGAGGAGATAGCCCAGATCGCACATGATCAAGGGATACGGCAAATGATTGTTGTTCTTACCAAACTTGATGATCGAGGCGCACACCTTACGGAAAAGCAATATAGCAATGTGGTCAAGAGTATTGGTTTCTCTCTGGACAAGATTGGCTTTCGACACTCGCCGTCAAGTACAATAACTACAACAATACCCTTTATCCCACTATCCGGACTGAATGGCGACAATCTCACACATAGATCGCCTGGAATCCCATGGTATGATGGTCCCTACCTTATGCAAGCATTGGATGGAATGGAAATTCCAGTTCGAGAATCATTCAAGCAACTTTGGATCCCAATACTGAATGTATGTCAGGTGGAAAGGATTGGAATAGTTGCGATTGGAACCATTGAGACAGGGACGCTGGAGGTTGGTATGCAAGTAAAGATACTTCCCAATGACGTTTTGGCAAAAGTCGAATCCATTGAAATGCATCACACAGCTCTTTCCACGGCACAAGCGGGTGATCATGTGGGATTTAATTTAGTATTTAGTGTGGATGACACCACTACGGAAGCAATGGATATTCGACCAGGGTGCATTGCAACCGATGCTGATGTGTCCTATTCTACCCTTGTGGATCATGGCTATCTGTAGAAAGGAAAATGAGTTACAGTAGTTGACATTGTTATCCTCATTGCCTAGATTGAAGCTAATTTCAAATTCATTGATTATCCCTTATATGAATCTGTTTCAAAATCTCCAATGCGGCTTGGTAATAAAATAATGCTTACTACCGTGTCGCGTCGGCCAAAGACCGTAGCCAAACTACACGAGCATACCGTTGCTGTGTTCAAAGTTACTCTGTTGTGATGAATGATCTGACGATCCCAAGAAGGATGCGATGTATCCCTTTTCCCTATTGATATCATTGAAAATCCCCTCTCCATGATCATCGTGAATACTGCGTCGCCGACCCCTCCTTGAAAGACGAGCCGATCGAGCTCGTTCCAATGTCGGTGATGTGGGGCCATTGGAGGAGGGCATACGAGCCGATGTGGACCGTTTCAATTTGGGTGAGAGCTGTGATGGTAGTTGTTCACTCGGAACTTTGGTCGTTGTTGGCGAGGAAACCCTAGCGGAAGTAGATCGTTGCAACGTGGGTGACGTTGGTGCACTGTTTTTGCTTTTTGAAATACGAGCAGATGTGGATCGTTGCACGGTTCTTGGAGATGATCTTGCTGGCTGCTTGCATACGGCTTTGAGGTGCAGAGGAATGTTTAGACTGCTCTCACGGCAAACATTCTGCTCTTCCAAAGTAAATCTTGATGCATTTGGATCCTGTCGAAATGATTTGGACTTTCCTTTCAACATTCTCCGCGCACCACCGTGTCCTGAATGTTTTGAGGTGGTTGGAGAACCGTCACCATGCCATGTCGATGATGTGAGATCGTTGGAGCTGGAGTCTCGCTTTGATGCCTTTTGTTTAGAGTTGAACGAAAAGACTTTGCGAAGACGTCTTGCTCCTGGAGATCGAACAGAGTTTTTGCGATCGCCGCTTGATGTTTTATTGCGACGTTCCTTTGATCGGTTTCGACCGGCCTGTTGCATTGGATTTGTTACCCATGAATAGAGTTTGGGATCCTCCGACTTTAACGCAGCATTCAACGAGGTTTGCATATTCTGCTTAACCTTGGATCTGTGCCGATGATAAACATTCGAATCGTCGTCCCTCTCCCATTTGGCATTCGGCGAGGAATGATGAGGTTCCAAAGCTTTACTGTTCAAAACGACAAGAGATCGCGACTGTTTCATTTGACCAGATTTTGATTTTATCAGCAGTCGAGCATCCATCGATGGCGTAATTGAAGACTTCTTCGTCGTCGGGACGGAATAAAGGCTTTGGACAGTAATCATTCTAAAATAGTTGAGGGCATATGTAAACAACTGTTTGTCTTTGAGATACAAAAGTGTCTGACCCAGAAACTGGACAGTCCACAAATGTTGTGTGTGAACGAACTATTCGTGTTTTGGTGGTGTATCTATAAATGAGAAAATGTCGTATCAAGACCGACATTCTTTTAAATAAGTGAAGAAAGGTTAAATAAAGACGTACCAAAATTGCGAAAAGTCCCCGCAATCAAGATTTTGAAAATTGAGATTTATCGCCTGGAGAGTAAAATTGGAATATAAAAGCATGTACTGAAACACGCAGAATAAATGGAGGATGGACGGACGATCGTAGTAGCTCGAATTGATATCTGAGGGCTTGCTGGAAACTAGTGGCAGAGTACATGTATGTACCTGGTACCGTATTACCGAGGTGGATCATATGGTACGACCGTACCAATCGCATTGTATGTTGTTACAGATCCACAGTAGCTACCGGTACCTGGTACTTGTATAAAAACATGGTGTACATAAAGTAAGTTTGAAGGAGTAAATATCCGTTGCTGTTGTTTGACACACAAGAAATATAAAATATCATGACCATTATTTCACGCTTTCGACACCGATATCACCATGATATGACCAAACTAATTCGTGTTTCTAACTATATATATTCATATCCGTAAAAGAGATCGATTTGCAGCAATTGACATGCTGACCTATCACCAAATATTTCCAGGTTACATCGTTGATACGACAGTGCCACAAACAATATGAATGCAAAAGAAAAACGATGTCAAACTACACTAGGAATAATTCTACTTGCGTAGCAATCCATACAAAAGTGTAAAACATGAGTGTTTTTGTTGATTTTATACTCAGAACGCTATAGTTTTGCAGCCCTCAGCAAATTAGGGCAAATGCATTTATTGTACAAGGGAGTGTAGTAGGACAATTCACGGGCATGTCGCTTACTCCTTGTTGGTCACACCAGTGACCTTTCCGAGCATCTTCAATCTGTTGGAGTCCATGACAGCAATACGTCCAAGAGCGGCGCACTTCTCGAAAGGCTCAAGGAAAAGAGGAGCGGTGGGCTCGAATTCAACCTCGGCATTCTCGAATTGAGAAAGTTCTGGGGGGTTCTCGACCTTGGCACCTCCAGTCTTCTTGGATTGCTTCCACAAGATCTTGGTCATCTTACAGGCGACCTTGGCGGTACGGGAGAAGACAACTGGACAGTATCCAGGCTTCAAGACACCAGGGTGCTCTTGGACGGCAACCATGGCAGTGAAAGTCTTGATAGGGGCAAGAGCACCTTCCTTCTCAAGGTAGATGATGTCACCTGGGTTGACCTTCTCGTCCTTGGCAATACCCTTGATAGACATACCGACAGAGTTTCCTGGTCCGGCAGATTCCAAGACCTTCTTGTGCTGTTCGATGGAGAACATCTTCTTTCCGACAAGTCCAGATGGGACAATTCCGATAACATCTCCAGGGCGAAGAGTTCCTTGTTCGACGGTACCGCAGATGATTTGACCAACACCCTTAATATTGTAGATGTTGGAAATTGGAAGACGAAGAGGAGCATCGGGCAAACGCTTGGGGGGAGTGATGAAGTTGTTGAGGCACTCGACAAGGGTGAATCCAGTGACCTTTTGCTTGGGTCCCTTGTTGGCGACCCATCCCTTGTACCAGGGGGCCTTGTCGGACTTCTCGACCAAGTTGTCACCGTTGAATCCAGAGTATGGGATGAAAGGGACCTTCTTGGGCTTGAATCCGATCAATTGAAGCATCTTAACGAATTCGTCCTTGATTTCGTTGAAACGGTCTTCAGACCAGTTGCAGGCGTCCATCTTGTTGATTCCAACAATGATTTGCTCAACACCGAGCAAGTAAAGAAGACGGGCGTGTTGACGGGTTTGTCCTTCCTCGACTCCCAACTTGGGGTCAGCCTTGGCAATGGCGGATTCGAATCCACCCTTCTCAGCGGGGACAAGAAGAAGACCGACATCAGCAGTGGCAGATCCGGTGATCATGTTCTTGATGTAATCCCTGATAGATAATTAAAAGAAGGAAAAAGTCATCGTCAGAAAATGTCCACGGCAAGTACGTTTTGACACGTTTCGACTACAAACTACAATCCCGTTTCCGTTGCACTTACTTGTGTCCGGGGGCATCGACAATAGTGTAGTGGAACTTGTCAGTGAAGAACTCCTTGGTGTTACATTGGATGGTAACTCCACGTTCACGTTCCTCCTTACAGGTGTCAAGGTAGTAGGCGAATCCGAAAGAGGACTTTCCCTTTTCTTCAGCGACAGCTTGAAGCTTGGTCATCTCACGATCAGAGATTCCTCCTTGCTTGAAGATAAGGTGACCGCAGGTGGTACTCTTACCAGCATCGACGTGTCCGCAGACAACAAGAGAAAGATGTTCCTTTTCAGCCATGGTTAAAGTTGTTTGTTGACTAGAATCTACCTTTTCAGATATTGTGAGAAATTGCGGCAACGCATTGCATCATCCATCTTGAGCCTCTTGGGGGCTGTAGTACGTGGCCACGTAAAATTCACGCAGAATCTCTTCGAACCACCGGTTTTTCTATTCGTACCGTTTGATGCATGATGAACGGTGACGGAGGGCGTGTGTCTGTCCTTCGTTCAACCATGTTTGAGTACAACTTCACCGTAAAATTCAACGCGAGACTCACAAACGTATGGCGGGAAACAGGCATGCTTCCACATACACGATTGTTCCCAGTCACGGAACGGAAGCAGTTTTGATGTGTGGGTCATTGTGGAACATGAATAATGAGTGAGTCGATTCGTATTGCAATGAAATAGGCATGCATGCAACCCATATGTTAAGGTGGTTATAGTGAAGACTGAATATTTCACAGGTACTTTCAAAGTGTAAGAGTAGTATGAAAGGTTTGGGAGAAATCCATTGTCAATGATTGGATTGGTGTCAAAGGATGATGCATTTTCGATGGTACTCTCGTAGCCAGCAAGTGACGTTCAAAAATGGGAGAATGCTGCTCACATGCTGTTTGAATGTCCTCAGCACTGTTGGTTCGCTCTATCATCGTTTCGTTTCCACGCATGCTATAATGAGTTGAGTTCATCTAATAGCCATAGATTCCGGTCCTTCATCTCCTAGTATGCAGTTCAGTAGTAGTTTTTAAAATATAAGAACTCTTCTTCGCTCAGTAATCTCCCTCATCGTCACCACCTCCAAAGAGATTCTTGGCATTGTCATCTTCTTCCTGTTGCAGCTCTTCCGCCTTTCGCTTTCGTTCGTTGCGTTTGGCTTCTTGGTTTTCGGGTGCTCCTTTGATAACTTTGAGGACCTTGTACTTTTGTCCCTGGTACGTTTCGGAATGAAAGCCGGCCCAGGAGGCAAACTCGTGCAAAATCATGGATACGCAAGCTTCTCCAGTGAACCAAGACGTTAGTTTGGGGTTATTTGTAGTCCCATCAGCATTGATGCTTGGTTGTAACGCGGCTACGTGTGGTACATGAACAAACTTTTCACAATGTTCCGCCATGCGCAAAGGCAGACCAACAGCTCTCTTGCCAACTACCAAACAAGTGTTCTGTTGAAATGGACGACAATGGATCGGAAATGATTTGGGCATTTCCTTCTGATCCGAATCGGACGGGTCCGTAGAGACAGCCACAACGGTTTCCGTCTTGGCCTTCTCGGCATGATGTATTGGTTGTTCCATGGTATGCACCATGTAACCGGATCCTTCATAGGCATTCGCTACTCCTCCCAAGACCCCAATCAGCTGAAATTTGTGCTCCTTTAAAGTTTCCACCGCTTGCCCATGGGTGGGAAAGGATATCAATTCAACATGTTTGGAGGCTCCGTGCGACCCTTGAACGCTGCAAGTGTCATATCCGACCACAAAAATTTGGGCAATGTCAAAGGCGGCGCAACATCGCAGGAGGGGTCCCCAGTTGGTATTCTTTTTGGGGTTTTCTATCAATAGCGTAACTTGAGCGTGTGTAGAAGTATCTTTTTCGTCAGTATTGTCGTTATTGCTGGTGTTGGCGGTAGAAGAAGCCATGGTTGGGGGGTGGTTGCGTCGGCTACTGTACTGTATTACAATGCCAGATGGATGAAAAAGTGATGGGTGTTGTTGTGATTTTGCCGGACACTTTTTCGCGCACGGACACTTTGCTGAATTTACCAAACTTTTGAAACTCCAACAGCTGATTGAGATTCAACTAACCTTCTAGTCCTTGTAACTTTTTGTCAACTTGTCATCGTCTACATCCAATAAATCATACATATATAGCTCCATAGGCAGTGAACATGGATTTTGTACAAGGGCCGAAAATAGGGGCCGCAATTCCACACCAATCGGCCGTCACATCCCTCAGTTATCACGAAGATGGAAAACACTTATATGCAGCAACCGACGACAAAAGGTTATATTTGATTGATGCACATGATAGAAGATGCAACAAACCGGCCTATCGATGTGAACGAGTGGGAATATCGTCGGTTTCCAGCACGTGAGTTGAATCTGGTGCTGCGTTATTGTCACACGTTTGGAGAGTGATAGACAACTTTTGCTAACACACCTGTCATTCTTAAAATTTCAAATCTCAGACATCACGACCATTGTGTACTATTTACAGGCACAGCGAGAGAACGTAGAAATATCCATTACTGGTCGCTATACGACAACAAGATGCTGAGAAAGTTCCGTGGCCACACCGATGACATTACCAATTTGAGTATGAGTCCATCGGATGACATGTTTCTGACGGCATCTAAGGACAGAACGGTTCGATTATGGAATGTTCAACAAGCGGGAGGACTAGCAAAGATGGATGCACCAGCAGAAACCGAGGGAACACCTCATACCGTCTTTGATAAGACTGGAATGGTATTTGCCGTAATGGCCCAAATGAGAGGGGCGCAAGGAAACGTAAGAAGCAAAGTGTTTGGATGATTGTGGTTTGTGCTAGCGCTCATTGTATCACCAAACTGAATTTCTCACCAAACTGGTTTCTATCCATACTATGACTCATTGCAGTACATTCATTTGTACGATGTCCGAAACTTTGGGGGCGGTGCCTTTTCCGAAATGAAAGTGGAAGCATCGGCCGTCCAACAAGCGATGCAAACGCAACGAGTTACTACCAATCCCTCAAATCAACCGATTACGTTCAAGACTATGGACTTTAATATGAGCGGCAATCGAATCTTGATTGAAGCAGATCCCGGTCTTACCATTGTCTTGGATGGGTACAACGGAACCGTCCAACGCATCTTTCAAAGCAAGGAAGGAAACCCAACCGCTGCTTGCTTTACTCCCGACGATCAATCAGTGCTGATTGCCAATGATTCTGCAAAGGTAGATTGTTGGAACATTCAGTCGGGAACAGTCGTGAAGACACTGGAGGGACACATGGGACCTGTGGGAGCAGTTGTGTGCAACCCGAAGTACTCACAGATTGCTTCCTCCTGTACGAATACATGTCTCTGGATATGGTAGAATCGCGAGCATAGATAAATAAATCAAGGAAGAATGCAATGCAAGTAATCAAACTAGACGTAGCCTAAAATATTGCCAAATAACATGATTCAGCAATCGCTCAAACATTCTGACAACAACAATTTGTAGTTCCAACCACTGTTCTATTTCTATTATTTTGCTACACTTGTGTTGGAGCGAAATGATACAAGCCACGTACACCATCGTTCACGTACCATCAACGGCACTTTAGTCTCGTAGGAGCTTTTTGTAATCTCCAATGGCTTCCGCTTCTCGCAATCGATATCCCAAGACAAGTTGCCACAACGAAAGTTGTTGCAGAGCATTACCAGGAATAACCATTTGCATCTCTGACTTTTCTTTGTTGGAAGGTTTCTTCTTTCCCTTTCCACTCTCGCCTCCTTCCAGTACGAATTTGACCAGCTTCTTCATGGTGTCAACCACCTCAGGGCTGATACCATCAGTAAGGGTCGAAACATCACCATCGTGTGCAGCAATGAATTGCGTAATGTCCATGGATTCAGCACCTGGAGATAGTATGCCACCCATCAAATCTTTGGGGATCTCGCCTTTTGCTAGACTGAGCTCTGCTTTCAGTATTTCAGCTTCGTCCTGAAGCGCTTCCATGTACTCCTTGGCATCAACTTCTACAATCATTCCATTCTCAAGCTCGATATCGATGGTACCGGATACATCAGTACTGATGTCGATCATTTCATCCTCATCTTCGTCATCGTCGTCGTCCAAATCATCGCTCTGACCACTCAACAATCGAGACCCAGCAACCTTTTCCTCCGGCTGGATAACAAAGGCAGCGCCCAGGCCCTTTTCAAATTCACCCCAACTAATTCTTCCATCGTTGTTTTGATCAAAGTAGTTCATAAAGGCCTCAGTTTCATAGGCAGGGGCATCACCCTCGTAGACTTTTTCAAACAAGGAGACAATTTCAGTAACTTCAATGAATCCAGAATTATCCTTGTCCAACTTGTCAAAGGCATCCTTGTAGTCTTTAAGACTTCTCTTTCCTTGAAGATTCAATACATCCTTGAGTGCCAAAACGTATTCGGCATTCCGAAACATATATCCCGTCATCTGCAGTTGAAAACATAGTGAACCAATCTTGTCACCGCTTGCCTTGACAACCGTCTCAATACCAGATGAGGGTGTAGCTAGGCCTCCCAATAAACTGCCGACGGCTCCTGACATGGCTTGAACTGTTTTTGGATCGGCCGATTGAACAAATTCTCCAATGAGCATGTTGGGCTGTTTCTCACTCATGATGCGAAAGAGTGCTTGGGAGGGTTGTTTGGACAAGCCAGACTCAACGTCTTCTACTCGTTGCCGCAGTTTGCCAATCGCACCGCCCCAGTCCAACTTAGTTTCACTCAAATCAGCATTCCTTCGAGTGATTGAGGAAGCATATGCTTCTGTAGCAGTTTCATTACTAGTAGTATCGAGAAATTCGGAAGCTGCCAGCGCTTCGTAAGGGTCTTCCGCCAGTTCGTCTTCGTCTTCTTCGTCATCTTCCACGGATGTCATACGACGAATCATCACCCTAGATGGTTTTATTAAAGCTGTAGCTTCCATGTTTCGAGCCCGAAGTAGCGACGCTAGACCTCCTCCCCAGTGGAAGGAAGTTGGCATTATTGAGAAAGCATTTGCACATGAGATGGCATGCATCAGCATGACAGCGACAGTTCTTAGGATAACTGCAGTCTGAGAATTCATCTTGGATTTTGTATGATATGATGCGTGCAGATTGCGTGGTCTGAAGAGCAACGACTGAAGTATGATTCAATCGCGTGACTTTCTTGTCTTCGTAACGAACAAAAGTTGACAATTTTGAATTCTCTTGTTGTTACTAAAGAATAAGCTGACGAAAGAAAAGACTTGAGCAGAACTTCTATCGATCTCTTCGAATCCGAACTGCTTTGATTGGCTGTGATCGGCCGCCACGTGGCACGAACATCGATCCAAAATTTATCGTGCTTTCCCCCGGAAATATGAGGGGAGGGGTGGTGGTGGTGGTGGGTTCATGCCAATAGTATCGTATTATCATACCATCCTGTGACACTCTACCGGTACTCGCCTAATCTATAAATGTAATATATATTATAGTATTAAGTAATGCTGGTAATCCGTTCTATCTTTGTAAAGGCTATCGCTAGTCCTATAGACCTTCTTCAAACATTGGTATAATTACAGGCATTATGATCATATCATGCTGAACACCAAAATAATTAAAGCACAGAATGATCATCGCCCTAAGCACGGAATGGGGCCACAGCTTCGGTACTGGTCTTCCATAACATTTCAATGGCCTTGGCATTGGTTTCATATTCCTTTGGTGGGTTGGGCACAGCCGGTCCTTTCGTTCCAGAATTCTTGGGCCCGTACAAGACTCCAGATTCAGCAGATGGATCCATCATACCCTTCATGAGACCCATGGCACCATCTTCTGCTGTCTGAATCATCAATGGACCGACGACTTTCAACGCAGTATTCCAAAAGAACCCATAGTTCAAGTGGTTATCAAGCCCTGTAGAAGAACCACCAGGGTGGGCACTAATGGCGCGGATCTTTGATCCAGATTCCTTCAGTTTGTTGTGGAGTCCGTACATATGTACCGAGTTGGCGAGCTTGGTCTGGAAGTAGCGATCGTAGCAGGCACCAGACAGCATACCAAGTGAATCTCCGCCCAAGTTTCCACCGTTCTTGCCAAAATACTTTGCTTCGAGACCTTTGTCTGGGGTTGTGCATAGGTCACGTCCCATGCTCGAGTGAGTTACAATCCGGGCGTCACCGTGAGCAGCAGCTCCGGCTTCAAGCAAGGGCATGAGTTCCTCCACGATGAGGAAATGAGAAAGATGGTTGGTTTGCATTTGGGTGTCATAACCGTCGACAGTGGCCTTGTCGACAGTGGCCATGATCCCGGCATTGCAAGCAAGGCAATAAATGCTGGAATACTTGCTCTTGATCTCAGCGATGGCATTTTTGACAGACTCGAAGCTTTGCAAGTCGCACTCGATGGGTACGAACTTGCCTTCTGGATACTCGTCTTTCATGGCTGCCAAAGACTTGGTGGAACGCTCAGACTTGCGGTTGAGAAGAAGCACTTCACCGCCTAGCTTGGCGACGGTTTTCGCAGCACAATTGCCCGTTCCAGAAGTTGTTCCGGTTATGACAAAGACCTTACCGCTGACATCAGGAAGTCCTTTAACGAACTTTGGGTATAGCTTTGTCTTGACCATTTTTTAAAAATTGAAGATGGACCAGTAGATAATAGAAAAGGTGGCTGTGATGTTTGTTTTTGTGAGAGAAAGTCGTCCTTTCGCAGATGAGCTTCTGCTTGTTCTTAGTTGTTCCAAGAATATGGTTGTTCCATTTTGGGCGTCGGGCTACCGATACTACTCCGATACGAGTACGCACCCCATTAGTGCTCCTCGCAGTACTTGGTACCAGGTATGGTACCTGTAAAACAACCCCAGATTGAAGATACGCGTAACAGGTCCCACATTAGTGCTCCTCGCAGTAAAACAAAAAACTACCCCAGATTCAAGTATGCTCTCGCACCCTGATGCGAGACGGTACAGTACCGGTATGCGCTGGTACGTTTACTTACGAAAATCAATCTGAGAGCTGTGAAATGCTCAAGGGGAAGTGCAAAAGGGGAAAGGTTGATTCAATCCCCGCAAAGTGAAACAATCCATCAACTTCAAACAAGAAGTTGCCAATTCCACTATGACAACGTCGTGTGAATTGCCGCAATTGCAGACAGCGTAACCAACAATAGAAAGGAGATATTAGGAAACAAGTAGAGGGGTAATAGTCTGCAAGTTAGAAGTATGTGGTTGGATCTAGCCCTCAAAGGTATCGGCCTTGCCTCCACGATCATTGCAACCTTGCGAGCTGGATCTCGATTGGCCTTTCTCGCTGAGCACGATGCCATCGGAATCCTGGAAGGTCCCACAATCACACGCCCGTCTATCAACGAAAGTGACAAGGAAAATGAGAGTGGTGCATCCTTGTTTGAAATTTCCGAAGCCTTCCGACACTGTGTTCGATTGAGTTTTGCACCTCATTATTACCACAATGTGCAGTTTCAACAGCCAGTTTCAGCCGTGGTAGAGCCATATCCATTGTCAGGGCGACATCATCCAGATATTCAGCAAGGTTATGACGAAGCAGATGGAATTGAAAAGAAGGAGACAATACAAGAAAGAACGGAGGTAATAGCAGCAATGCTTGAAGGTGCCAATTCAACTCTAAACCAAACTTTATCCGATATGAATGATGCAGCCTTGTTGGAGTACGACGAAACTACCAGCAACGAGAAAGCGCCAATAGAATCCACAATATATTCCTTTTCCAGACGACTAGCTTTTGCCGCCAATCCACTCAACGGGGCCCGTGTCATTGCTTCTTGGATTCCACCTGCAATCCAACAATCGCAGCAATACCTGGTGGCAACGCCAAAGCTGGCTTCCTTTTATGCCAAAAAAGCCCTTCACAAAGCACCAAGTGACGATGAAAAGGACAATCTCATGTCAGGTAGGTCTCTTTTGGTATGTATTTTCTATGCTGGGATTGATTCATTCAACCAAGTTCATTGATCCAATACTTCTTCAAATTTTTAAATGCAGAGTGGGACCATGGTTCTTCTACGGAAGCAGAAATAGAATACCAAACATCGTTCGGAAAAGAAAATGTAGCAGAACTTTCCGTCTTTTGCCCAGAGGCCTTTGCCAATCTCCGTTCCACATTTGGAATCTCGGAAGATTCATATCGCAATTCCATTTTTGGATCAGGCCCATTCGTTTCCTTCCAGAGCAACTCCAAGGGTGCAGCAAGAGTGGGTGGAGTTTTCTTCTTCACACGAGATGGTGCATACATGATCAAAACGATCAAGGTACGTGTGTTGAGACTGAAGAATCAGATGCGGAGCCTGTTTCTGAAGACTTCGTAGCACCTGCCGCACACGACGCTCACGTCTCTCTTACTTCGCACATGAACAGACAGAAGAAGCCAAAACCTTTTTGGAAATGTTGCCAAAGTACCATCATCACATGAAACGATTTGCGAGGACATCGCTACTGACACGATTCTGTGGCATGTACGGTGTCCGAATACACGAAAAAGGCTCTCTGGACAGGGGTCAATTGCATACATTTGTCGTCATGAATGCAGTCTTTCCTGCCGAGGCCTCAAACTTTGTGTCGGAACGATATGACTTGAAGGGAAGCACCGTTGGAAGAGAAGTATCGGAGGAGGAATTGGAAAGAAAGGGTCGGGATGCCGTTTTGAAGGACTTGGACTTGGCTCGGGAGGTCGATTTGGTGCGATCGCTTCAAACCGAAAGCAATTCAGGCGAATATGGATTTACTATTGGAGCCACAGCCAAGGCTGGTGAGTGGCCTCTGTTTGGCCCATGTGTAGCCTCGTTGACCATGCTAGTCTAACAAAATATTTTGTATCAGCCTTGTTAAGTCAATTACGAGAAGACGTGCGGTTGTTGGTCGACTGTGGAGTCATGGATTACAGTCTGTTGGTGGGTGTCGTGAATATGGCAGGAAAACACAAGCAAGCCAAATACACAACCGAAGCCTTGTTGGCAATGCAGAAACAAGGGATTCAATTGGATCGCCTCGAAGCTCCTCCACCCAGCAAGAGGCTGGATAAGCAAGCCCTTTCTTTCTTGGGGACTCCACTTCGATTGCTTTTGGCACCTCCCACATCGGTTGTACGACAGGCTTGGTATATGACTCAAAACACACTTTCCTCGGTGATCACACTTCCCCTTCCGTATTATGGTTCTGGAAACTGTGTTGTTGATGGTGGGTCGTATGCTATCATGCACGGAAAACGACGAGGTGAACGTGCCCTCTATTACATGGGACTGATAGACTTTCTTCAACCTTGGACCACGAGGAAACGAATCGAACGGAAATTAAAGGGATTGGCGGGCTACGACACTGCTGCAGTCAGTTGTGTAGATCCTGAAGCATACGCCGAACGGTTCCTGGAATTCTTAGACGCTAACATATCATAAATTCATTCGAAAACATTATACAATGGTTACGTTCCACATGCACATTTACTTGTCTTTTTTGTCCCCACTCTGGCCGTCTTGTGGCGCATTATCATCAGGTGTCATATCTTTCAATCGAGCACTTGACAGTCTCGACCGCTCTTGAATTTGTTGCCAGTTCAACTCCTTCCCATAGTAAATCTCTCCCAATGCTGGACCGACCTTCTTGATAAAGGCTCTGAGATCCACTTGAAGCTGCCTTCGAGTCGCAGGCAATGCTCGTAGTTTTCTTCGCGATGACGGGAACAAGCGCTTGTAATAGGGTCGAATATCATTGAAAGTGACCATTCCAGCTTCGGTAGCGATGATTCCCATGTAAGCAAAAACAGGAAGGGAAACAATGAATAGCCCAATAGTCGGTCCATCCAGATCCGTGAATACCGAAAGGACCAAGAAATAGAATAACCACAAACTTGGAATCGCAACGATGCAGAAGAGAACCTTTTCCGTTAACATGACATCATATGCTCGGACCTTCACCTTTGACTTTGCCAGCAGCTTTTTGCGACGACGTTCCGAATAGATTCCAGCCAACAATCCAACAGGAAGATTCAAGAATAGCGTTGGGATGGCTGCGAGCAACAGCAATATCATGATATGTACCAACTGATATGGGATTCTGAGGATTCCCAAAACATCATCTGGCTCCAATTCCTTCACGTCACTTTTCTCACGGTCAAGAGCGGGGATCTGGTAGTCACGAATACCAAGGTCTCGGAGCTCCTTTTGATAGGCAATCATTCGTTGTTGAAGATCCAACCATCTTTCTGGGGGATCGCCTTGTGTCAAAAGAGAAAGCATCTTATAACCCTCCGCAAAACGACGGGCCATATCTTGCTTTTCTTTACCCTGGAGACCTTTGCGCTGATATAGTCGACGAGCCGTATGAATCAGCTGCAGACTTTCATAGTCTGGAGTCGCCACAATAACCGACCGCATGCTATCTTGAATTCGATCCAATAGTTCGTTACAGACTCGTCGCTTGTTGGCACCACCTTCTTTGTAGTCCTTTAGTGTCGATGGATCGATATATATGGGCTGGCCAAACTCAACAGTGGCTCTGCCTCTCCAACGATGAGAACGAAAGTAGTTCAATCCAACAGGCACAATGGGAACGTTCAGGTCATCCTTTTCCAGGGAAGAATACGCAATCAATGCGACTCCAACCTTGAGTGGCAATAGATCAGTTCGGTCATGACTACCACCCTCCGGAAAGATACCGATACATCCACCACTAGCCAATTTATCGAGAACCTTTCCATAAACATCCTTCTGGTCGATCTTTTTCAGGATATCAAAGGTATTTGGTTCCGTCTTGGTGAAGACCTTTTCGTATTCTGCTGGTGGAACATCACTTCCATCCACAATCACGTTTCCGTCATCCAACAATTCTGTAACTTTGACACCAATGGCAGTTCCAGTTGGACGAATCTTGTCACCAATCTTGAGTTGTTCGGTAAACACTGTATCCGTACCCGCTACGGTCATAATTAACGTATTGGCGCCCTCTGAAAGAGCCTGATCCTTGGTAAAAACCACCTTGCCTGTTCCAGAAATTGCTGAATCCTGGGCACGCTTGACTGGAACGACATCCAATGCCCAGGCCAAATCTCCAATGATCCGACGTTTGTAACTTGCGTCTGCCATTAAGTAAGAAACCCGATGACTACAAGTCGAAAGCAAGGTAACTGCATCAATGAATTGATTCGCATGGTTGACGGTAAAGATAATGGGCCCATGCCTTGGCAGTTTGTCTCGACCAATCACTTCGACTTCTCGGAAAAATATACTCAAAATGGAATGAAAAAAGATGCGGACGGAATAGTATAGGAGCTTCTTGAATTCGGTAACCCAAATGTACAGGGATAGTAGCATGCAAACCATGACAATGTGCCAGGGCGCCACCGAGGGAAACACATGAAGAAAGACCTTAACGGGGCTACGAGTTTGGAAAGCAGTGAGGTGTGAAGTGAGTCGTCAGAGACATCAAGTTTATAGATGAATTGAAGCAAGGAACAACAAAAACTCACTTGATATGATCCACTGTCAATACAATAATACCACCCAGCACTCCGAGCTGTGTCTTGGTAAAATCAACATGCGACAGATGAGTTTCTGGGGCCCTGCAGCATTGAATTAAATTGGAAATGACCAAAGAAGTGTGCGTGAGAGAAACGTTCACGACACAATGACACTTTATTCCACGGTCTGCAGTACGGAAGCAAAGGCTTACCTCATGATTCTATGCTGTTAAAAAGATAGGCTCAAAGCAAGTCTATCGCTATGATCCACTGTGAGTGCTGTTGAAATTGATTTGATGGAGATTGAAGCTTGGAACGAACAAACAGCTTGTGGAATTGTTTGGTCGCTATCGTATTCTGATTTCTGATGGATGTTCCGAAAAGTTTGGCTTCGACTTCAAACATCAAAAACGAACCCGGAGCCATTTGTAGAAAAGCGGATTGATTCAAATATGGAGTGACGCGCTGACGTTACAATTGGTCAAAGGGGTCGACTGCTTGCGTCATCATCAAAGAGGGCGCAAGAAACGCGCAACTGCCCATCACATCACATCAAAGTGAAATGATCAGAATATGAAAGGTGCACAAAACAGAACCTCCACCCATCACAATACAACCCTCCATTTCAACATGAAACCTTCGATTTCTATCTTTCTCCTGTCAAGCTTCCTTCTCCACGACGGATCTGCCTTTGTCAGCGTGCCATCACGTTCCATTTCAAGACAAACCTTTTTGCAAGCCGAGGCTCCTTCTGAACAGCCACCAGCATCAGCAAACGAACCAAAACCGGCCCAACCCAAGGCAGTCATTTTGGATCCCTACCTTCCTGCAGCAGACCCCAAATACAAAGTCACTGGAAAGGTAGGAGGAGGAGACTTTATCGTTTCCAGAAGTGGTGGTCCTACGGACGAAGAATTGACCGACGAGAATTTGTACCGTATCATCGAACGCAAGGCGAGTGATTTGGAAGTCAATACATTGGTGTGGAAGTGCTTGGGATACCGTTTTGACGGCCAAGAGTGGGCACCAGAAGAAGTATTTCCCAAGTGGAAGGACCGTTTTCCGGAACCTCCAGATTTTATCGGTATGCAACGCATGTACTCCAAGGAGATTGATGGACCGTGTCTTCGAAATAACCAGTCGCTGGTGCGATCCATCCCGGCAGAAAACAAGGACAGTTATTTGAAAAAGCACATGATGCCATTTGGATTCACAGGATACAAGGTAATTCTACTACGTGGAGGATGGGCCCGTGGCTTTCATCTACATTTTGTTCTTTTTGTCTGACACTCTTGTCATCTTTGTTGTTGCTTGTGGCTTCTTCCGTATCCAAACACAAAGGTTTCCGAATTGACTCCCAACTTGACTCGTCGGGCGCAATGCACCAATTGGTTGTTATTCTACCGCGAAGAACTTTATGGATACACAGTAGAAGAACTAAGAGAACGCAGACGCCTCAAACAAGAACAACAAGAGAAGGAACGTTTGGTGCGGATAGAAAAGGGAGAAGAAGAAGAATGGAAACCACCAGTGAAGGAAGTCTTTTAAAAAAATGTTTGGGCTGGATGTAATGAGGATGTTTGGCGACGTCCCGATATAGGAATGCGATGTGATTATACTGCCGGGAATATATCCTTTTGCTGCCATTTGAAATTCGCAGCAAGTATGTAGAGTCATATGAATATTGTAGATATTAGTGAAGCAAAACAGTAAATACCAAAAACAAAAACCCTAATTAAGTTCACATTCAGCTGGTCCCAGACTGGTCCCAACAAACTGATATATTTACTCCATTATACCATCTCCATATAGTCACTTTTCGGTTGAACTTCTCCTCCTTGTCCAGACTCGATCTTTTGCTTCTCTGGGAGCGTCTCTGGCATAAAGATTAGGTAGACAAGTGTTGGAACC